TGTTTGTGGGGGAAAGCATTAAAAGGGAGTAAAAAGAAAATGGCACGTATGTGATTAACCAATAAATGTGAATAGACATTACACGTATCATTAAAAAATCTTGTTAATTTGAGCCTACACCTGTTCATGTACAATATTAATATCATTCATCATGCTCTGGTGGTGATAAATAAAACGCCGCTGGCCATAATAATGCATTATCTCGCATTATTCCACGCTTACACCGTTAACTTACACTACACCATCGCAGTGGCAGCTGATTGGTCGGCCGCTCCTCTCCCTCGGCCTCGCAGCCAATCAGCGGCCTCCGTTTGTAACGTAAGTGCGATTAGTCACGGGCCGTTGTGAATCGGAGGCCAGCGGCCCCACAATGCCAGGCGGGGGAGCCCCTTTCTGAGCAGCATCACCGCCTCGCCTCGCCTCGCCTCGCTCAAAGGGACACACAGGAGAGAAATGCAAAGGGATGTAAGATGGCAGAGCTACAAATGCTATTAGAGGAGGAAATCCCTGCCGGCAAAAGAGCGCTGGTGGAAAGCTACCAGAACCTGTCGCGGGTGGCGGAATACTGTGAAAACAATTATGTTCAGGTAAGAGGCCGCCCGAAGGCCGTTAAATCCGCCGAATTTGTCGGTTATCTCCGTCGTGTCTGCGGTGCCTTGTAGTAGAAGTGAGTGAAACCACAGCGGCAGGAAGCGCTGGTCGGAACGAAAGCGACCCTCAAAAACCGCTAGCTCGCACCGAGTGGCCTGCTCCTCCCGGTGCGTTGAACCGGCCGTGTCCGGGGCAAGCAATGAGGAGGGGGGGAGGCTGCGTTTCGTGATATTTGTCGGTTGTGGCTTCACGTTTGAACGGCTTCTCTCGGTGTGCTGGAAGCTGCTGGGGGCTTGTGGAGGGTGTGTCGTTGTTATGACTAAGTGGTTTGTCACTGACTGCATTCTGTGGTCGGTACCTGTGACAGAACACAACCCGAAACCCGCTTTTCTGTAATAAATACTCGCGCGGATTATTAGTATTTTTTAACTCCACGCGCACCGGCATCACACTTTAAGGCCATGCAGCGGGATTGGAAATCACGATTTAAATCAAAGCCCTTCCACCAGCGTAAAAATATAAAAGCTAGCATAACTGTACGTGCTTCTCTGTGTTATTAGGTGTTAATAAACCAGGGGGGAAACACATTTAAAAAGTGCAATTAAACGCTTACTCACTGTAACGATTGACTCATTTCATCGATTATCAGCCATTTAAAGCGTTTCTCATACGTGAGCTTTTCTCACTGGTGTACATCTTAACTGGCTCGACTTTAAGAGCAAAATACAAGACAGTGAATGTGCAGTGATGCAGATATCATGTGTCTACAGAGCTGGAAACATGGCTCCAGTGCATCCCTGTGCATCATTTGCTTGTAATCAAATGCATCCTGCAGGTTCATGATTGCTGTGCCGGCTTGTTTCTGCTCATCCAGGCTGAATGTTAAATCCGTGTAAGCAGGCAGAAGCACCGGTGCCTCCAAATTGTAGTTTTATGTACATTTTAATCATGTGTGTGGAATTAACTTAAGAGAGTCTAGTGTCATTTCCTATATGCTTGAAATATATATTTTTTTACACATCTTTGGGGATTTCTGAGTTTCTCACACAAAAACCTCATCACTCCTCTCCTGTTCGGTAAATGTGGGTGATAGTGTGAGCTCGTAGACTGTCAGTGGGTTGAATGATCTGGTGTGAACAGCATCGTCCGTTTGACAGACCGCCTCAAACCAGAAACTGTGCTCCAGCGTGGTAATTTTTTGACTGTGCTGCCGAGAGAAGCCGACAGTTCGGCCCCTGATGGCACATCAGATCACTTTACCTTGGTTGTCATTGGAAATGCAATGTGGGTTAGACTGCTTGGATGCACGCTTCACGCTGACAGGCAGCTTCGTGTTGCAATGCTTTCAAACCCAAATCAGTATGAGGAAAGCTGTATGGAAATGAGATTATTGTGCAAGGTTGTACTATTAGCACATTTTTATTTATTTGATGCCTCTCAGACGCCACCTTCCTTTCTGAGAAATTCAGTTGGCGTGGTGAGATAGAGAGGAAACGGCATGCCTCTGGTGGTACACTCACCTACTATTAGAGGGTGTTAGAGGGTGTCCTATATGCTGCCTTTTACTTGTTTACTTTAAAATGTTTTACATTTCAGGGATTTGGAGTATTTTTTTAAACATCAGAATGATAGCTTGACTTTTCTAGGATAGAAAGTAGTGGTCTCCTAAATATTTTGCTGACTGATAATCAGCAAAATGACTTTTGTTTTAAACTTCGATGCATTAAAATTCATATGAACCAGTCACGGCTGAAGGAAATGAAAAACCAAGCCGTAAGATGGTGCAGATTGACGACAGATATTCTCAAATCTGATGTGTGATTGATAAGCTTCGCACACCAGTTGAACAGGAAAACAAATCCTTAACATGCTGTGTAAATTTTGAGTCCTTCTGCAGGAAAAAAGGATGGAATTGAGAAAAAGGACTCATAAAGTATGTATTTGGAATAAAATGTTTGTTGACTCTTGCTCATAGCATTTTTTTATGACTGAGAAACTCAAACAATTTGGTTGAGAGCTATTTTTTTTCTTTAAATAAATGCTGAGGTTCTTTTCCTAATCCATTTTGGAGAGTTACATTCTGATTTTCATCCCCTTTCCTGCTGATTTTGAGAGCGCTGCACCGCTTCAACATTTAGCATCCTGTGTTTATTTATTTCAGCAGGATAGTCATGCCTGGAATATGAAGATGCATGTATGTGGCTTCTCCTGAATAATGATTTCTTTAGGGACATCAAAAACATTAGCTGGGATATTGCGTGCATGTAAACACACTCGACAAACACAACAGGGAACGGAGAGTAATGAGAGTGTTATGTAGGCCAGTATAGTTCATGCATATTGTGCACAGTAGAAATTCGACATGGAAAATTGTAGGTATTCTGAATAGAGGTCTGCTTTGAGCCGTTTGCTTCCAGCCATCAAACCACGTTTTTGTCTGTTTTGCCAGCTACTGTTCTCATAGACGTGATGTAATAACTGGTTGTCTTTATGTCGGATAGTTCCACATAATCCTGTGCGAGTACACAAAACGCATTTATACACTCACAACTGGAATAGCAGAACTATACAGAAGCAAAATGCATGCCGTGATATATAAATCGACTCTGTGATGATGGAGGAAAAAATAAATGTAGTTTTATTTTTAGATCAGATATTTGTAATGAGCCGTTTGGGGGAAAAAAAACAAAAAAACTGACAAACTGTCAACCGCAAAATAGGCGTCATGAAAGCAGAACTCAGCTTTGTGGGTAACTTTCTTAAGGCCTTTGTGTACTAAAATAGCAGCTCTCACAGTGAACGCTGTTTTTTGGGCTGCAGATGGGCTCTTGCTGCTATTGGTATGTAAAAAAAAAATCCGAACATTTATTCTTGAACAGATGCTCCATCTTGAAATTCTCACAATTATTGTGATTTTTCTCCAGTTTGTGGTTTGTATATGGAAAGCACAATGTACAAATCAACATGTTTGATGGGCAGTTTTGTAAATTGACCAATTATTAAATGAACTGTTTGCATTCCTTCTATAATATACGATATTTGTAGGATATGGTGATACATGGAAGCTCATGATTCTACTTAATATTTCCCTCATGCTGTCAGAATTCCCCCTTCAGCTCACATGATACCCCTCTGACTCATAGCTGTTTCTTTCATGACTCCTGAGGTTCTTGATATTCCAGTATCAGTGCTGAGGGCTTTTTCTGGTTCAGAATGGGCGTTTGAGGAGTGACTGTACTCCGCTGTGCACATGTGTACAGTCCAGACAATGAGACCGTGTTGCCGTATTTGACGGAAATCGATGAATTTTGCTGTTATTTCTGACCATTTGATAGAAAATGTCTATCATGCTTGAGTACAATGGTTAAAAATCCATCTTTTTTTGTCAGATCTTGTTAGTTTCCCTTTGGCCCTGGCTGAAATCTCTTTGGGGGCCATCAAGAATTCCTCTTTGCGGAAAACAGCCCGGCCCCGCTGTTCGGTAGGATGATAGGGCTTTCAGAAATTGCTCTATTTTAGCGCATTGTTAAGATTGACTCTGGTGCTCAGCATAAAAGGAATTCCAAGTGGAGCCCCTACAAAAAGCCTTTTATAAGCTTAATGTGAAATATAATATCTCAAAGCAGTAGCGAGTGAACAAAGTGTATTAGGGAGATGTAGGTTATTATTACCAGGGGTTTCCTGGGCAGGATATTGTCAGGCTTTTCTTTATTAGTTTAAATCTTTTGCAAGTTTTAACCTCTCTTTAAATCCCTTTCCACGCCTTATCTATGCTGCTTACAATGTATTGTGCAGTTTTTAATATAGCTGTCAGCTGAGCTTCATCTGGATGTATGAATTTGTACCAATCCAAGCACTGTGTTTAGTCAAATACTGGTGTGCAAATTGTTCTGTGAGGTAGTTTGGTAGTCTGAACATGCATCGGGAATATACGTAAGTCAGCGTTTTCCAAGCCGAGGCATGAGGACGTGTTCCAGTCTCTGTGATTATGCTGACTAAGTGTGTTTCCACTCTCTGGTAGTCGTTGGTGTGCACGGGACGGGCCGACCTGCAGGTCCCACCAGACATCTGCAACAGATATTATGGCTGCAGGTGGTTTTGCAAAGTAGCAGGTGGGCAGGTCACAGGTGCTCTTGTTGTACAGATCCGTCGTGGTGCAGGTTCGTCGCCTCCTGCTGCCAAATACAAATTGTTGTTTGGAAACAGCTGGCGCATCATAGTGGACGTCGTGGCGCTTAAACTGCATTTATGGGATTCTGGAGTTTCCAGAGTAGGCACAACATAATCATAGCGGCTGAGCAGCTTGAAACACAGCTCTAGGTCAACGTCGGTTATTATGAATGGGTACAGATACGGATTATTAGTAGTTTTGGTGTCAAACCTCAGAATAATTTAAACTCTGACAGAAGACTTTGTTGAAATGCCTTGGTTTACTGTTGCGTTTAAATAAAATAGCGTCTCAATGTTTATCCTTCAGTGATGACAGGGTGTAGTCAATCAGATGCTGCTGCTGGTGGGACATCGCTCGACCCTACAGAGTGGCAACTACAAATATTGAGAAGGAATCAAAAATAACGATGCAGATAACCAGAAAAAATGCTAAATATTGGATCTTTCAATCAGCTCGGACACAATCGCTCAACCTCTAATTATAAGCTTTAAAGAAACAGGTCCACATTAAAAAAAAAATGCCTGTTTGCTCTGTTATTGACAGTTAAATGAAGCATCACAACTCTCCTGCCTGTCTATTGACTATGAAGCCAAGAGACGATTAGCTTAGCTGAGCAGAAAGCTTGGAAACAGCCACAGTTGGCCTCTTCCAGCACGGAGGTTTGGGTGAAACTACAGCATAGTGACGGGACGTTCTGTGGTCGTGGTGGCATCTGTTAGTCTGACTTTACACACAATACATTAATATATACATACTACCCCCATATGGAGTAGATAGTCTGATTAGATTTCAATGCACATCATTTCTGCAACATAATGAGAGAACCCTCATTCCCCAAAAATTGTGCCAACTTTTTAACACCATAAGCTACAACTTTAAACAAACATGCTGGTATTAAATCAAATTATTGAGCTCTTAAGCTTCAGGAAAAGCTGAACACATGTGATAAGAACAATAAACAGTAGAACATTGTGCTTGATTTTTGAAACTTCTGCTAGCACAAGCTACTAGTGCTTAAATCACAGGTGTGCCTTTATCACGAAGATCCTGGCAGGACAAAAGGCAATCCAAATGTTTGCATTCCTGTTTTTGTACGAGTTAAACAAGAAACAAGATTAACAGTGTGTTGATAAGTGAGCTTTAGAGGTGCTGGTATGTAGGCCTGCTTTTGAACATTTTTTTGAGAGAGCCTGTTTTGTTTTGCTGCCAGTTTTTTATGCTAAGCTATGCTAATCACCTCCTAGCGCTAGCTTTTTACTCATCAGAAAGCTATAAGCGGAATCTTACTCTACTTATTCATAACTAACTATAAATAAACTAACTAAAAATACAATGAATTATTATAGATTCGTTTTTTAGCCAGTACATATATATCAAGTCATACACTGACGAGTTCAGCAGTTTTTAAATATTATTTATTACACTAACTAGAGCTGAAGAAGAAGAAGAAGAAGCTTCATTGTCATCGTACAAGAAATACAACAAAATTTTGTTTGGCATCATCTTCTTCATCTTTGCATCTTTGCAAAAAAAAAAAAAAGTAAAATGGTTAGCCTATCAGTTCAGTAATGGAAGTTAATTAGTGGCCATTACTGGTAATTGATTAAATGCTGAAGACCTTTACAGTATGCATTGAAATTTTTAATTAGATTTTAAAATGCAAAGATTTGTTTTACTCCTTATATTTCATGATTGTAAAAATTTAAACATGTATGTTGTTTGGCGTTTGGTAAAACAAAGACATCCTTTTTTTTTTAAACTTAAATAAGGTATTTGTCAATTTTTACATTTTATATATATATTTTTAAAAAAAGAAGAAGAAGATTACTAGAATAACTAACATGGACAGTAACTTGTATTCCTGCTCCCTAAAAAAAGACCGGCTATCCACTGTTACAGTTCTTCTTTGTGTGCCTGCATTACCCCCTGTTTTGTTTCCAAACTATAAATATGTCCATTCAGTCCCATTGCTATTTAAAGACATCCAGAAACAGATGGTTTGCGCGGCCGGGTGTTTGGGATCCTACAAAATGTCTTGGCATTCCTGCTCTCTGGGCTCAACTCCCACCATGCACCTGTCCCATGTTGCCCGAGTTATTCAGAAGTTATTGCTGTCCACTTCAAAGGCTGCGTCGTCTCCCACAAAGTCATCCCTTTACAGAGAACCCTCTTCGCTCGCCTTCAGATGTGAACAGGGCTTTAGCAAGTTTGAAAACAGCCAGAGAGAGAAAGTTCCTGTCAAACATTGTTCCCTGTAGAAAGCTGCTCTCTCATTCAGCACACACTGCTGATAACAATGAGTGCAGCATTTCCTCTTGACTCTTTTTTTTTTTTTTTTTAAACTACCTTACTTCCCTTTGCCAATTTGTCCATTTCTTCCACCCACACATCCTTCCACTGATGTTTTTTTCTGACTTGTGCTTTATCTTCCTGTCGTTGCCAGGCTCAAGACAAGAAGAAGGCCCTGGAGGAGACCAAAGCCTACACCACCCAGTCTCTGGCCAGCGTGGCCTACCAGATTAATGCCTTAGCAAACAATGTGCTGCAGCTGCTGGACATCCAGGCCTCGCAACTGCGACGCATGGAGTCCTCCATCAACCACATCTCCCAGGTACACGCCACAGCAGACACACAATCACACATGCTGCAGTAGGACTTCTTCTTGAATGCTGATGATTTGAATCACCAGTTAAGAAAGTCAATTGGTTCCCTGTGAAATGCTGGATAACCTGCTGCTCCCATCCAACAACTCTAGTGCAAAATTTTAATGAAGCCGGATAAACTACTTCAAAACTGGCAGCTGGTGCAACCTCCTCTACTGCCGCCCAGTGATTTGCTGACAGGCAGGCAGGAAAAACGCTCTGTGGTGCAGAAAGATTTCCTGATTGAACTATAACTAGCACAGCAACTACCAATTATTCTCATTGTTGAGGAATGTGTTGATTATTTTTCCAATTGGTTGTTTGGGTTTATAAAATGGTAAAAAATGACAATTAGTGTTTCCCAGTGTTCAAAATAACAAATGTCTTGTGTTGCCAAGATCTAAATATTTACTTTACTGTCAAAAAGGAGAAAAGAAACCAGAAAATATCCAAATTTAAGAAACTGGAATCAAAAAATGTTGACTTTTTCTTCTGAGAAATTACTAAAAATTATTAATTTATTGTAAAAATAGTTGAAAATTTACAAGTTTGCCACTAATAAATCTAACTGTAACCAGGAGGCCACTTTTTATTCCTTTTACTTCCAATAAATCAGTATACAAGAGTAAAAACTGCATTTTGGTTTTATGTAAATACAAAAATTGTTCATGGATTTACATCAGTCACCTTCTTTGTGAGCATGTTCACAAACTGTTTCATGTCTTCTATATCACACGTTGAATCACGATGCAGGTTTGAGAATTTTCTGCTCAGATTAAACGCATTCAAGTGCACACCCTATCATAACACCAAGCTGCACAATGACACATTCATGCACTGTAAAGACTGACAGATATGGCGGGGGCATGGATCATACTGGAGCTGCCAAACCTCCACAACCCCTCTTCAGTTGCTTCATCAGCAGTCCTTTCTGCCTCTCGCTGTCCCTCTCTGCGCTCCATGCCACCACCCTGCCTGTCAGCCGCTGAATGTCCCGTGGCCTCCCTGTGTGCTTCATTAAGCCTGTCAGGGATGAAGTGAAACCCTGACGCCAGCACTCTCGCCTGGTTAGCGTTTCCAGCTCCCGCTTTACTCTGCAAATTGCAGGATGGAGTGGAGCGAGGTGCGGTCTAATGATGAACAACGAAACTCTTTTATTGATCCTTGAAAGACGGTTAGTGGTGCTTTATGTCCCCCACTTGATGTTTCAGCTTCAGACCTAACAGCCCTCCTGGGTAACTGCAGGGAACAGCACCCCGGCACAGAAACTGTTGAGTCAGTAGGCTCGCTTCGCTGTGGGAGGTGGGAGCATTTGTCTCTGAGTATCAAAGAAAAGACATATATCAGCTTCAGTCTGTCTGTGATGGTTAAAAGAGTTCTTTTTCACAGTGATGAATGTACAGGTGTAACTAATAACATTAAGGATGGCTCAGCTCCAGATGAGTCTATACCAGCAAAGCCAAGCCAGTGAGCTAATGTTCACAAAGTTTGTACTCTTCATTCTGCCTGTGAAAAATATCTGCCATGAAAAAGTGGATTATCACTTTGCATTCAGATCTGTGTACGAAACTTCAGAATATGTAATGAACACCTTGTTTCAGGTGATAAGTGGTGCTGCACCGGTAGAGTAGGATGTGCAAAGCTATTACAAAGCTCATTTCTTTGCTTCAGGATGATCCAGTAGATGTGGATGCATGAAAATACAAAAACTACTACCAATGTGACTGAGATCGTCTGTCTCAGAGTCAATATGTCAAACACAGATTGATTAAAATTTGCTTTAAATAGTTTAAAACGAGAGAAAAGTTCATTTCTTCTTACATGCACCTGATGCAGGTGTTTCCTTCTGGTGTTGGTTCATTATTCTAGCAGATATATGTCCAAGAATTACAATTTTTACTTGCTTGGATGTGCCAAGTATTTTTCTGGCTTAGTTGACTTGAAAGAGTTAAAATGGGATTAGAGAGAGAAGGTAGCTGCCAAATCCAAGTGTGATGTAAAAGCCCACAGCAGAGGAGGCTGTGATAAAATTCTACAACAAAGGCTACTACCTAAATGCAAAACAGCAGCAGGTTTGATCAAAGCACACCTCTGAATCACAACTTGAATTGAATGGCTGTGCCTAAAAATATGTGTGTGTGTGTATTCAGGCGATGGTAGACAAAATGGACATTTTGATTCAGCTGCGATGCAAAACATAAAGCGTCTCTCCCACTCTTTTCCATTTTCCCTGCAGACTGCAGCAGACTGCCAGTTTGCTTTCTGATTCATTTCTTTATTTTGTTCTCTGAAATAGTCTTTCATCGACTCCATGACCTACTTGCGCCTCTTTCAGCTCCATTCCATTTGGTCAGATTGTCTCAAGTGCAGGATTGACCTGTCATCCCATTGCAGTGCAAATTCTAAAGATTATTATGGCACAGTTATGAATATTGTATGCACAGTAGGAACTGTTTGAATTTACTTGTTGCTTGTTACCATCAAGCCATATTTGAGCTCACTGGGCTTTGAAATCACACATCTGTGGACACGCCTGGGAAATATTGGTGCAAACTACATCGTTTTTTTTTCTCCTGCCAATAACATTTCAACTTGTTCATCTGCTCTGCAGAGAATAAACATTTGCTCAGTTTTTCAGATTGAAACTACTGAATAGACGCGGCTGTGAACATTACAGCTAAACCATCTGTTCTCGAAAATACACTACAGAGATTGAGCAGACAGCCAGATGTTTATTAGAGTAACGAGATTGCAAAAGAAAATGAGATTGAGGGAGCGCAGGAAGGGCAGACAGAGGTCTGTCGTCAGTGATTAGGTAACAGCTATTATGCCTCAGCGTTTCACAAAGATTATCACGTACGTTGCCACCTTCAGGAATATTCAGAGGAAATGCTGAAATCGAGCTGACAGGGTCCAGTCATTGCTTGTATGTGCACATTGCATGTTGCATCGTTGCGACAGTTTTCCCTCATTTTCAAGACTGATTTGTTCGTACAGAGTGAGCAGCTATTGTTGGTTGCTGTACAATGTGTGTTCAGTGTAATATGGTCCCATCACCACATTCCTGCTTTTCCCATTTCTCTTTGATCATAACCACCAGAATCATCAGCTTCTAGTTTCACATGTTTTTTGTCTCTGCCTCTTGTTTTCCTCTCTGTCTGTGCCTCTTTCTGTCCTTCTGTTTTGTTTCTCACTTTCTGTAATCTGCCCTGCACCTCTCCTCGCCCTATTACTGGCAGGAAATAGGCGGGTCTTTCTTCTTACTTCCCAGCTGAAGCTGGGCGTGTCGCTTCAGTTTCCTCTCCTAAAAAAAGAGCCTAGAATGTTCTTTCTCCTTTCATATGTACTGTATATCTCACATGCAGCACACACGGGCTTCACGTCACACACAGCGAGAGAGGGAGCGACAGTTGTGGGTCAGCTTGACAGCACCTATCAGGCTGGTGGTCGCAGCAGTGGAGCTGTCAAGTCGACTGCATAAGATGATGAGTGGTGACCTTGTTGCTATGTGGATCTCGCACAGGCAAACTTACATGTATTTACAAAACATGCACTCACACATATATCTTGTCTATACACATATATCCTCTTGCACCAGGGCAAGAATCTGTCTATATATACTTTACACCAGCCCTGTTACAGTACCACGCTCACATTCCTTCCTGCACTTCACTCTGCTTTCCCTTACCTCCCTCCCTTCCTCCCTCTCTGCATCACTCCCTCGTTCCAGTTTCATCCATCATTCATAAATTGAAGACCAGTCCACGCAGGCGTCTGCTGTGAGTGATGATGACTGTAATCGCAGAGGAGATGGAGGTCATCGGTGTTTTCAGTTGGTCCTAGTGCGAGGGGTTAAAGTAGAGCTTCATCAAACGGGCCTCAGGGTGAAGGCTAATAGGGCAGAACAGAAGAATGAACTGTGTGAAATTCAAAAGCCACTCGTTTCTTTTATGTTTGTTCTTCAGCTTTCGAATGTCCACTGTATCCAGCAGGCAAACAAACTGAAGATGGTGGACCAGTTTTAAATATAGACCTGTTGTGCACAGGCCAAAAAAATGTGCCTGTGAACAGCAATTGTTTCTGCAAGTTCTCCAATACAAGCTGACAAACAAGCTCTTGGTCTCAAATAATATTGTTCAAATGGACGCTGTTAAGACCAGACTCAAACACAAAATGAAAAACAAAAAGTAAACGCATTACAGTCACAGGAATTTCCATCATTGCAATCATTTTCCACAACAATTTTCCACAGCAACATAATGATGCCATACTTGTACTCACCCACTGCTAGAGACGGTTGTGATCTCCAGAGGATGAGTCGGTGTTAATTATCCAGCAAAATATCTGGATTGCCAAAAAGCTTCACACACATTGACCCTCTGAGTTTTCCTCTGTCACCACCAGCAGGATGACATGGATCTTTTTTTTTTTTTTTTTGCATTTTCATCTTTGTTAGTGCATTAAATAAAAATGAATGTTAAAAAATGAGGTCAGAAGGAGGATGACATGCAGAAATCACCTGTTCGGATCAAACCATACATGCAGCTATTTAGAATTTTAGAGTAGCCAACATGTGTTGTTTTGACAAATATAATCACCAGCTGGCTCCTCGGTTACGACATAACTTGTCTTTGAAATTGGTGAAGATTTCTCAGACAAATATATAAACTTGCTTTTGATTAAAAACCTGGAAAACTGTTCACTTTCACATCAGTTAGCATTAGCAAAGGATTAGCATGGTGACACATGATGAACCTAATCTACTTAACACGAGCATGTCGGCATACTGATACTAGTTTAAAGTACCTAAGTACACCTTTGCAGACCTGCTAGCATGCTAATGAGTTAGTCCTGTGAACAAATATACTATTTATACTAATGTTCAGCTATACTTTACTCTGTTTATATGCTGCTTAAATCTGACATTTTGCAAATATTTCATAATAAAAATCCCTTTAGGGAAGGGAAGGGAAATGCATTATGTTCCCTGAGCTGCTTGGAGGCTTTTAATCTGAAACAAGTGAATTACCAGGTAATGAGGCCCAGCTCAGAAAACAAATAAATAACTAGAAATGTGATGTCACTGCTTAGTAGGCCAGGGTCTAGCTGAGGTACATACATTTTGAGAATTTACAATGATGGCCAAATAATTATGTGAAACAAACAGCTGAGTGTCTCCTGTCACACACCAACCTATACGTCTTTATATATGTGACTGATTGATTGATTGATTGATATGCCTCTCCTACAGACGGTGGACATTCATAAGGAGAAGGTGGCCCGTCGAGAAATTGGCATCCTGACCACAAATAAGAACACCTCTCGCACCCACAAGATCATCGCCCCGGGCAACATGGAGCGGCCGGTGCGCTACATCCGAAAACCCATCGACTACACGCTGCTGGACGATGTGGGACACGGCGTCAAGGTAGGAACGATTCGGGTCTTGTGTCAAATTAAAAACCTTTAAAGTCAAACAAAACAGACTTCAGATCAGGAAGTATTTGTTTACTTATGTGGCAGGGACATGTTTGATTCTGGTTTTCAGAAAGCTCCTTCACACTGTTTTAGCTTCAGCCCAACCAGACTGTTGCATTTAGAGTCATTACTTTCATACACTGCCTTGTTTTCCAGCGATAATCGATTTTGCTGGACAGCCAAACATATACTTAGTCAGGTTCACACCTGGCACTTTCATGTGAACAAGCTGACCGTGTGCTTTCATAATTCATTCGCACGCAGCCACTCACACTGCAGGCCGATCAATACGCCGGCCTTTTAGTTAATTAAGTACTGAGACACCTAGAACTGTAACAGCCGCCCGTTCAAGCTTGAGATGCTAAGTTGGTAGCTGACTACAGCTCAAAAGCTTCTCTTGTCAGAGGTTTTTGATGCCAAGTAACTACTTCCTAAGCTGGAAGTCATTAGGAGCGTGGGTGTTTGTGTGTGTGACGGAGACATCTTGGCCAAGTGCTACTTACACCATCACTTCCCCTGTGGGGAAAAAAAAAATCTTTCAACCCTTTTCCGCCTCATTCTTCAATTTTTTATTCCCACTCCCCATGATCCATCCTCTCCTCTCCCCTCTCCTTTTTTATTTTTTATTTTCCAAGGCCATGCGTTTATGGTTGTGTGTGAGCGTGTACACACAGTTAAGTGCGTTGTGTGTTTGAGTTGGCCTCTGCGTCCCTCACCCCCGGTCTGTCTCTGTTGAGATAGTGGCTGTCCGCTGATGTTCAAACATCCGCTGATTCAAATTCAAAAGCTAGTGTTTCCTCCTTTGAGGGCTGGCGCGCACTGAGACAGATTTGGCATGGCCCGCTATGCAAATTGGGCATCATTGGTGGAGGCTGGAAATGACGGATCTCTGCAGAAATCAGTGCTGATGAGTGCAGATGCAAAAAGATGTGTGCAGCCTTTATTCTTTTTCTCATGTACCTGCAGAGGAGACAGTAGTTCATCCTGCTGCAGCCTAAAAATCCTGAAGCAAACTTGTGTAAAATGACTAATACTGTGAGTCCGCACTATTGTTTCAATACGTTTTAGTCAAGAAGGGTGAGATCATCGTTTTTGAATTTAGATTGAACAGTAAAAACAGCGCATTACATTCCATATTCACCGCCTTCTGTACACTTTCTCGCTCTCACACGTATCTGTGAATAATTCAGAAGGATTGATGCTCACCACTGCATCCGCCGCTACACTGCAATCTACTGTTTTCTTAGAGGTATATTGATGCATGTGGGCATGTTTGTCAATTTGTTTTTGTTCATTTACAACTCCACGGTGTGTTCACGCTGCGTGGGAAACAATATTAGCAGCTTATTAGCACTCCATCCTTGCAGCCTGTTTCCTGGAGGGCTGCAGCGGATTCCCTCGAGCGTACAAGACGTGTTTTCACCCCTCTGCCTCTTATTCACATATCCAGAGGAGCTCACCCGTGGAAAGATGGGAAGTCGAGACTCGAGCATGGAAAGACCCATTCACACATGTATGGATGACTGTGCTCACCCTTCCGCCGTAATAGCTTTTATTGGCATTTCTGGCAGTTACCGGGGTGACATAGTTTCAGCCACATTACAGCTACTTCAACAGTCTGCTGTTATTTATGACCTCACTGCGCTTTACTGCCCCGACCCTTAAAACGTCAGCGTAGCCACATGTAGCTCAGAGACTGCTCATTATTTCTAACGTGTTTAAACGCTGAAGGGATTTTTATTCTGATTACTGTCTGTAGCACATGTCTAGACAGTGAGAAACACAGAATAGGCTCATAAACACTTTGTACAGTTGCTTCACTTTTCTATGGCTTTTGACTCTCAAATGTTTGTTTACAAAGTGGAGCAAAAGGAAGTTATTTCTTTCCTCTTCACTGTGCAAAAGCAAAACTGGGTGTTTGTGTGGGTTTATATGCACGCAGGTGTCTAAGTAAAGACGGGAGGGACTGACGTTACAGTGAAGCTCCTCTTATGGTGATGAGTCTTGACAGGACATGCAACAATACTGCATGATTATAGTCAGCCAGTATCAGTGGAATTTGATAAATGATTATTGATTTTAATAATTTAACAAGGAAAAAAAATTCTCAAACTTCCAAAATGTGACAATTTCATACATTTTAGTTCTTTTATTTCCCTGTTTTATATCACTATAGATGTACCCCTTGTTCAACAGACAAAACACACAATTTGAAAATGACACCTCCAACATTTTGGCTTTGGTTTGCCCAAGTTTTATACTCCTAACTAATTAATTGATCACTAATGAAACTACTCAGCTAAATGTGATAAAACCAGTTATGGAGAAATAATAATATTTTACTACTACATAAAGCAAACAAGGGCTGCAAGGTGTCTCGTTGGTTAGCATCGTTGCCTCGCAGCAAGAAGGTCACCAGTTCGCGTCCCGGTGAGGACACCCGGGATCTTTCTGCGGGGAGTTTGCATGTCCTCCCCGTGCAGTGTGGGTTCTCTCAGGGTTCCCCCCACAGTCCAAAAACTTGCTGAGGTTAATTAGTGATTCTAAATTGTCCGCAGGTGTGAATGTGAGTGTGCTTGGTTGTCTGTCTCTAAGTGTAGCCCTGTGATGGACTGGTTACCTGTCCAGGGTGTCCCCTGCCTTCACCCTGAGTCAGCTGGGATAGACTCCAGCCCCCCACAACCCCAGTGAGGATTAAGTGGTATATAGATGATGGATGGATGGATAAAGCAAATGATAATTTGCCTTACAATGTAGTATATTGTCAGCAATATAGGCTCGATATTGTTATTATTATTTCCTTTATTTATACAGATAATCTCATTGAGACACAGGATCTCATTCTCAAGAGAGACCTGTTTGCAAATAACAAAACAACATAGAGTCACAGACAGACAACACTGTGGGACCTGTCCTCATAACAACAAAATAACATAAAAAAATAACCGTGAGTTACAAACTCACTGTCGCTTTTTCTTTGTTGTTTCATAATATACAGATTCTGCGTGATAAACAGATTCTAACACAGCATGCTAGATTTTCACACATGCACACAATCGAGTTTCCTTTACTTCACAACACATGACGGTAACTTCCTGGAGACTTACCGTAGCTATATAATAAACACTAAACACTTCTTGCCTAGCTACAACACTAATTTTAATTCAAAGCTTATAGTGGTTGCTGGGTAGACTGATCAAACAAGGGACTGGGCCTGAAGCAGCAGTTAACAGACTTTCAGCTTCTCACTGCTGTGTCTGACGCTTGGTTGTCTACTCAGTTAAACTGTGGTCACTTCAATTAATAGCAACATAACCTGAAATGCTAACAAGTGTGATTTATGACATGCAGGCAACATATTTCCTTATATTAGCCTGTTTGCTGTCCCCTTTCCTCCCTTTACTGCTTTCTTTTTCCTTCACAATTCTCTTAACTTTTTATGCTGTGTATAAAAATGAAAGAATTAGATGTTGTGTTCATTGGAGCTGAACAATTGGGGCAAAATACCTCATTGTTTTTTTCTTACAGAGTTTTTTTTAAAAGTTATAACCTGCTTCAAACATGTATTTATTACAATTTTTAAATGGAACAGGAGAAAAAAACATTTATCACAATAGAATTGGTTAAGCTAAATAAATAAAATAAGAGATAGCAGCATCTAAGTACTGCACATTTTATAATGAAGTTAAATAAAGTAGTAATAATAAAAAAAAATAAGCCTTTGTTCAAAGTGCTGTGTCATGTTTATCCTAAATTGCTAAACTGCTTTGTTTCAAATAGTGATTTGCATTTGAAATCGATTCATTGTTCAGCCTCAGTGTTCATCTATAATGCTGACGTTCTCCTCTCGCTATCACTAGAAAAAATAGATCCACTTTTGTAACCATTAACCAATGAGCATGTCTTGTTTTCTGTCTCCTCTTTCTGCCTGCTTGCACTCAGTGGCTTAAGGCCAAGGTAAGAGACGGTTGTCTTTCTCTTCTTTTTGTCCACATGTTGATCACAGACACAGTGTCGAGTGTCCATGAACCCATTAGAACGGTCCATCATTTGTCAAACGCATAGAAGAATTGAACATTTTGATATCATGAAAGTACGTTTTTTTGTGTTGGAGCAAACCTGATTCCATTCAAAGGTGTTTTATAGCAGTCCGACAAAACAGGTTTGTCACACAATAGAATATATTCATCTGGTGTGGTGTGTAATTTCAGAAGGTCACCAGCTAGCTGTCATTATTCAACTTGCAAGTATGAAGCAGGTGTGCAAATCTAACACATTTATGTCATCGTTTTAACTCAATATGTACGTGGCAGTAAATGTAGAATATACCAGGAGATTGGAGGCGTTATATTAAAATATATGCTATTATATTAACACATATTTCTGTGTCTCATATCCCTTCACCCACGTTAATTAGTTACAGTCCATCTACATACACAGTATAAGACAAAAGTCATCAACTTACTGGTGCTTTTAGTTCTCTTCCCTCCTCCACATCCCCGTTTGTCTCGTATTCTGTGTCTTGATATTTGACAGAAGAGCCCTTGTGCCAGTGTTTCTGTGCTCTGTTATAACTAAAGATAAGATGCTTATTTGAAACCAGACCAAGTTTTGCTTCATCATCATCAGGTTAAATGAGTCCCCTGCTTTAATATTCATTGGCACGGGAAACACTGGTGTCAGCTAATGAGATTATTCAGAAGCACCATTTTTAACTTGCCTTCGCTCCACCAGCAACATGGGAACAATGCGGCAGGCCGAGGTGGGACCATTTCCAGGACCAACCCGCCCACACAGAAACCTCCAAGTCCCCCCATGGCTGGTCGTGGGACCCTGGGGTAAGAGCCGGCTGCTTGTCATGCTTTGTAAGAGATGTGGTCCTGCTTGGTTTCTCTTGGTCTGGGGACAGGCGCCTGCTCTTTTGCCAAACCAGCACCAGTGGCTCTGTCCTGAATAGTGAACCAAATTAAATAACCCTTAATGCTGCTCTTTTGAGATTTAAGCCACCAGGACCAGCTGACCTTATTTGCATTGAAAACGGTGCCAATTTTTAATTTTTTTCTCACTTTTCATGATATTAAGAATGAATTCTGCTTGTCTTTTGTCCGTCTGAATGCAGCCGTAACACTCCCTACAAGACACTGGAGCCCGTGAAGCCTCCGGTGGTGCCCAACGACTACATGACGAGCCCGGCCCGACTGGGCAGCCAGCACAGCCCTGCACGCACAGCTTCACTCAACCAGAGGCCCAGGACACACAGGTACCGCAGACGCTTTCCTCCCCGACCCAAAATTAACATATAAACTGTGTTTGGATTGCTGTGCGCTTCGATAAAGCTCAGCTGCACGCAAGGTCAGATGTGACTCTACTGCAGATGCTGAAGCTGATCATTTGAACCGCATCAGGAGAGAAGGATTCATCCAGTCACATTTAAAGAGTTCAACAAATGTGTAAAGGACGAATCAGGACACAAACAGTGCAACATACACATGTAGCAGGCACCTCCATAATTAGCATAGACCGTTCAACGATGTGCAGCAGAGAAAATCGAGCTGGTTTAGCTGTTTTTACAACAGACATTTTGTCTTTTCAGTAGAGAAAGCACAGTTTTAAATGACATTTATTCAGCTGCCTCAGTGAGTCATGCACAAAATCAGAATTCTGAAACTGAAACAGCTAAATGGAATTCAGCCGTCGTTCATTTTATTATTTACACCTTTGCTTTTCTCGCTGTCACATGTCAAAAACACTCTAATAATTTATTCATTTTAAATTTACAATTCAGCATCTAAAGGCTATATTGAATGCGTAACGTATGCAACGCGTACACAGAGCGGACGTGCTGCAGAGTATAGATTTTGTACTGGCTACGTGGCGTGTATGAGTCACAGGAAAAATCAGACGGTAAGCTTTCGTTTTGGAGTAGCTGTTCAGTTTTTGACTGCGAAACTTAAAATAGATGCTGACAGACCCCAAAATGGAAGCCTCGTTTGATTCAAAGTTGTGTATCATTAGATTAAATAAGAGAATATAGGCATCTCATGACCTAATTCTGTGTAAAAGGGCCATGTGCGAAAAATATAAATAGAGGACTGGTCTATTTTTACATTTGCAGACCTCCGCGGTGCATGTGAAGCACTTCCACGCTGCTGTAAGTCCTGGTGTAGCCGACTTCATTGATCAGTGTTTCAACAGCTGCTCCACAAACTGTCCACATTCATGTTCAGTGTAGCCGCTGGGTAATTGCTGCATCACATTCCAGGATCCACAGATGTCAAGATTCCTGCACGGTTCCCCTCCTTTTGGCTCTCGTCTTGTTTTTCTTACGCTGCATAGCTGCTAATCTAACTGGTTGTTCTCCAATTTGCAGATGAGCCCGACGCTGCACGCAGCACATCACAGCTCTGTGAATCTGTTACCACAGTGACAGCAGTATTGTTATGACACAATGACATTTGAGAGAGTAATGATAGGATGTCAAACAAACGCTGTCATGCAATTAAGATGGTCTCACACTTCCTCTAAATATCACCACAAACCCTTTCTCTTCTCTCTGCAGCGGCAGCAGTGGTGGGAGCGGTGGCAGGGAGAACAGTGGAGGCAGTGGCGTCGGTGTCCCTCTCGCAGTTCCCACCCCTTCTCCTCCCAGTATGGGCCAAGGTGAGTCTCAACAGCTGTAACCTGCAGCAGCTGTCTGTGCTGCTGCTGCTTTTCCTCTTTGTGTCGCTTTCTTGGTCCCAAACACGTCGGCCCACTCGAACTGAAATAAAGGAATTAAAATGCTTGCAGGTGCTGCAAAACTAAATAATTCAACAGATTAAACGGTTGAAAGACACACACTGAAACACCAATAAAATTGTCAGCATTTTGCTTTACTGAGCCTTTATTTCATCATATCTTAACTTATGTAAAAATGCTGCAGGCACACAGTAAGACTGCAAAGGTATATTTCATTATCAGGTTTTCTTGGCTTTTGCTCAAACACACATTAAATATACATCGAAGAAAGTGCTGTGCAGGAAAAAAGTGGAGCCACACAAGACGAAGAGGGAGAAAATTAGAACAGTGGGCCTGGGGAAAGCGAGAAATATTAGAAAGAGGGATCTGTATTGTGCTGTTGTTGATTTATTGCTTTTTTACCTCTCTGTACCTGTAGTATTGGAAAAAGTAAATTGAGTTTAAATGTTAATATTTCACCAGCAGCAGCACCTTATTATTTTTACTCACATGCTGCATGTAAGTACTGATGTTAAAGATTGATAATTCATTTAGCAGCAAAAAAAAACTGTCTCTCTCCTCCTGTTGTTGCAGTGGCGACATCGTCGGCCTCGGTGCCTCAGGGCCCCGGCCTGGGTCCCATCCCCATGTCCCAGTTCGGCACCATCTCCCGCCAGATCTCCCGTCACAACTCCTCCACCACCTCCTCAGCTTCCATGGTGTCGGCTACCGGCACCTACCGCCGTGCACCTTCCGTCTCCTCCCAGCAGCCCCACATCAACGGGGGCCCGGCATACCCTCAGAACGCAGGTGAGGCGGCTTTAATACGGTTATTTGTAAAGTGACTTAATCAGTAGCTGGTCTGTCGAGATAATAGTCGTTAATAAATTAGGTGTTTGGAAGCAAGAAGTAGCTACTGTTGGTGTTGAATGATGGACTTTTGTGGTCTTTTATTGTGTAGGATTTGGCTTCTCTTCTTTCTGCCTCTCAAATATTCAAATCTGCATTCTGGGTCTGAGACAAATGAATGGGCCAGTCTTTCTTGAAGCTAATGAAAATGACTGATGAATCATAATTAGTGAAGTCAGGGTTGTTGAAGCCTCCCCACCTCAGCACCGCTATGCAGAGTGTCTCATTACCATTTCTAATTGAGTTATGACATTATCGTTTTAGTCAGCTGGAGGAAGCTTCTTGTTCAGGAGGGACAGGCAGAGTGGCAGGAGGCACATCAGGATAGACAACACAAACAGCCGCTAGACAAGGGGAAACCCAGGACATATGCATATTTTCTGTCAGAAGAGTAGAATTTATTTCAGCAGGCGTCACTCTGAGCCATTCTCCTCTAATGGCTCCTCTCTCAAAGGACAACCATCTTTCTTGGCACAAAGCGCAGAACGAGGAGGCTGTCTGTCTCATCTGAGAGGAGAGAAGACAATGACACGGAGCTGCATCAGCACCAGGTTTAAACTGGGACATCATGCGATCCCCATGATGTGTGCGCCGCAGCTGTCGTAACGTAATCAAACTGAAAGATGCGTTTTGATTTGTGACAGTAGCACAAAAGGCGAGTTCCGTTACACGTGGGAGCTCATCGATCTCTGGGGGTGTAGCTGTGGATGGATGTGGCTCTGCGGTGGGAGCAGGGTGGAATAATAAGACATTAGTGCCCAGTGAGATTACAGACGCCCTTCCATTACATGTGATTTATGAGTCAGACCTGGCGTGCCTGTGTGTGTGACATCATGTCTTTGAGTGAGGACAGCTGTGTTTTCTGCGTTTGCTTATACATATTTCTCCTAAGACGGTGTAGCATGAGCCTCATTTGAAGGGCAGAAGATGGAGAGTATACTTGTGAGAGTTCATTCAGTAAAGGGTGTAACGCAACTAAGTAAACATTTATTCATATATGAAGCATTTAATGAAATTACCAGGATTAGATACAGACACTGCAGCTTTGAAAACGCTACTGAACTGTCATCTTGCCACTGTCATGTTTCTGTGTAGTGCTCCGCAGTCTTTTCACCATATCAGAAGCCTATTGCTAGCTGCAGCCCTTTGCTTCTGATTTAAAACACATGCTGATGAGGTAGATCCTCAGACTCAGATTAGATGAATGCTTTTCTAGCCCAGCTTGAAAAACGCAGCACAAAAGACCACTGATTGGAAATGTGTAAATGAGGTGCTCACCAATGCTTCCTGCACTATTTTGCTTGCTCACAAGCTTTTTGTTGTCTTTTTTTTCTCTCTCTCTCTTCTTCCACACGCTCAATTTGGACTTTCTCTTTTCTACGATGCCCTTTTGTTCTTTTCCTGTCCTCGTCGTTCTTCCCCTCCACCACCACCACCACCACCACCTCTGTCGCTCTCCCTGCTGCTCTCTCTCTCTGCTTGTCTGGGTGTTGCTGCTCCAGTGTCTGTGGCTCCTCCGCCTCCTCCTCCAATGGTCCAGCTGACCCCACAGATCCCTCTGACCGGCTTTGTGGCCAGAATGCAGGAGAGCAGTAAGTAGAAAAAACAAAAAGGCAAAAACACGCACTTTTACTCATGAAGATGAACCATGTAGTGTTAAATTTCAAAATATACAACATACACATAAATCTACACCTGCTGTTCATTTCCAAAAGTGGTCAGCAAAAAATCATACACTTACAAAGATGACATTTGCGTGTACTCTCAGACAGGTACCACCCCTCATTAAACATCTTAAATTGGACGTTTTATGCTTTTCCTTATCTTTTTTTTTTTTTTTTTATCACAGCACATAAAATGTAGCCAAAGTTTTAAATAATGAGGTTAATGAATGTAAAAAAAAAAAAATCCCAGTGAGCCAAAAGATCTGACTTCACACTGCTCTGAGTACTAGACTAGTATTTTCTAGACAGTCTACTCGAGAAGTATTACAGATATAGTTTGGGACACTTTCACTAGCTGCGTTACTGTTTAACGACAGCAGACGTCTTCCCACACGTACACCTATTGACAGAGCATAAACAGACAAATATTTACATACGTCTCGTGACTTAAAGACTAAATCCACAGTTGTGTCACACAGTAAGCACGTAACTACAGTAATATTTACCCAACACCCTGCTGTCATCCACGCCGCTGCAGATGCTGCATTCAGGTCGGATTCAGGCTCCAACATGTGCAGATAGATTCAAGGAGTTGCAATTTGAAATTATGTCGCTCAGTTCAGTTCGGAGCTTTCACGGCGACAAGAGGATGACGAGCAAAAGGCTTCCGCAAAGCCTGCTAATTAAAAGGAAAGTGGGCTTTTAAGGGGAAAGATAAATAAGCTTTTTTTTTGTAACTGTGATTCATGCAAAGCTACTCTAATGGAGACTAAAAATACAGAGCTGGAAGCGAGGATAATACGTGTCTTTTAATCGGTATCCACACACCGTCTCCTCCGCGGCCTGCCTCACTCAGCTACACTCAGAATACCTTTTTCTTGCGCCGTATGCCGGGTTGAGAGGGGAGCACCCTCAGATGTCTGTCTGTTGCCATGGTGACGGATCACTGAAAGCGTGCGTCCGGTCCACCGAGGAGAGAAAATGTGACCTGATGCCGTGTCCTGATTCACCGCCGACTGTCTGCGGAGATGCAACGATCTAACTCTGGGTGTCTGGTTAAATGTGGTTCAGGCTTTGTTTACAGCAGACCTCACTGGATGTTTGTCACACAGTCAAACAAGGGATGGAGTTCGTGTTTACGTCTTAATCAGGCCTTAAATTAATAATTAGCCCATTTTTACATAATGAAATGTAAACCAGGATCATTTTAATGATACGTATCGGAGGTTTTTCTCTTTACAAGTGACACGTTTTACACTTGCAGCAGTAGCAGCAGCAGGGATTAGTGTGTAAACAGAAGAGGAGCTGGTTAGTATGAGCAGCGGTAATCAGCCCGACTGAACAAAGAAAAGAGGTCACAGCCCCGAAAACACTGTTCAACAACTGAGTTCCCATGTGAAAAGTACCACAACCAACCCCTTTAATACCAGAAATAAAACAAATCAGGACCAATGACTTTTACTGTTTATTAAATAGAAACGATCTTGTTCAGTCTCTCTGCTCAAACTGTAAATTACTTCAACTTCTGCCAACAATATGCTCACATCAAGTGAGATATTGAGTGTTTGTAGAGGGGTTGATGGATCAGACTAATAAAACCAGCGATTGTTTTATAGTGAAGCGTTTTCAGCTGTTGATGCTAAAACAGATCCAGAGTGAATCGTTGGACCTGCGGAAAAACAGGCACGTAAGCAGCTTGGAATTAAAGAGTATGCATGAATTTTTACTCCCCTGGTGCATTATTGCCAGTTGTTTAATTCAGCAGCAGGCTCATGAATTAGGTAAGATGTGTGTGTTGTTTTTTTATTACTGGACTTGAGGCTGCAGTGTTCCAACAGGACACTTGTAGCATAAGAACACATTTAGTTAAAAGACTGAAGACTGTCGGGGCCACGACAGGCTTTCAGAATCACACCCATCCACCTCATTTTCTTGTGAACGCATGTGCTTAAAAACGTTGAACCATTTCTCAGAGGGAGAAAATTACAAATCAGCTGTGAGAATGCCTTAAAAGAAGCGCTCATTGACGGTAAATAGACAATTCCTTGGCATACCCTTGAGGTACATTAACCACTAAAAAATACTACTGCTACTATTCTACCTTTTTCTTTGAGTTTCTGTGGAGTGACATATCCACCAAAGACTACTAGTTGTAGTTGTAGTTCTACGAGCAGTATTAAAGAAGCCTGTAGCTGCTGTTGAGGGCAGCGGTGTCGTGTCTTCGGTGCTGTTTCTGGAGACTCTGAGGCTTTAGCAACCTGTATTGTTCACATTATTTAGAAAATAAATACAGGTGGGTATGAACGTGCTCAGTGTCTACAGAAGTAAACACTGATGGTAACGGTGGAGCGTATCTGCCACTCTCCATCCTCCACCGATGGTGGAAACAGAAGTGTGACCGCTAACTAAACTAGCATCAGCAGTACATGTATAGCTTGATTTCTACCAGAGTATTTCTGCTGTGTGGAGTTGGTACCTTAACTGAAATTTGAGTACTTCTTTCATCTCTGGATTTAGTAAATAAATGAATATAAAATGATCTTACAGGAACATAAAGAAGGCTTCATGATCTTTATCCTTGTGCTAAATCTGGCGTATTTACTGCAACCTGAGATTGTACGTTCATTAGTACGCACTGTTCTGTCCAAATTAACAAATAAATAAATTCCTATTGGGAAGTTAATTTTGAAAATCTAAACATTTTCCTTTCATACATGAATAGTGACTGAGTGAGTGTTGGGAGCGTTTGGACCACCAGTAGCAGCTGATGCTGTCGGATGACTGTCAAGCTGAAACGTAAAAGCACCCTAAGCTGCCCTCTAGTGGGCAATTAACATGTTACATGGCATTAGCATTGGAACTGGTGTGTACTGATGTGCTCATAATAAAGTTTGTAAAGATTTCTGTTGGTCAAGATGATAGAAACCCAACAGGTTTATGCATTAAAACAAGCAGTTTAGTTCAGTTTAAAGTCTACCAATGATTGGGTAAATCTCACCAATAATAATCATAAAACTTTGGATGTGATATAAACACAAACTCTCCATTTAAAGTTGTTCTGCGGCGACAGATTGGATCAGAGCAGCAGGACCTTATCTCCACACTCTCCCCTGTTGCCTTTTTTTTTTCATTAGCTGTCTCTCTTTTTCCAGTAACAGACAGCCCTGCTCCCCCTCCTCCGCCTCCCCCAGAGGACATGGGTGTGTTTGAGGAGCCTGCTCCCCCTCCTCCCCCTCCCCCGGTGGACTACGAGGAAGAGGAGGCCGCTGTGGTTCACTACAGCGATCCATACGCTGATGGAGACCCCCACTGGGCCCCCAAGGCTTACTTAGAGAAAGGTTAGTGCCGAGGAGAGCAGGCGACTCAACAGATCAGCGGCGCTTTTATTTATAGATTTAAAACCGCTCACCTTGTCACCACCTGTGGAATGATGGTTTTCATTTGTTTGTCCCAGTTGTGGCCATCTACGACTACACCAAGGACAAGGAGGATGAGCTCTCCTTCATGGAGGGCGCCATCATCTACATCATCAAGAAGAACGATGACGGCTGGTTCGAAGGGGTCTGCAACGGCGTCACCGGACTCTTCCCCGGAAACTACGTGGAGTCCATCATGCACTATGCTGACTAAGAAGAAAACAAAATCCCACCCGTAATGGCACTGCAGTTTTTGAACAGAGGCAAAACCGTGAAGATGTACAGACGTATGCAGTGCAGCGATAGCAGTTCATACAACTCCCGTTTTGAATGAAGTGCCATGGTGAATTATTACTGGTTTTCTTTTAGGGGCGGGGGGGCGGGTGGGGGGCTTGTGCTTGCACGGTTTTGGTCTGCTTCAAAAAAAAAAACAAAAAAAGAAGAAAAAAACAGATGAAGTGTCGCACAAAGAAGGAGGCTGTCGAAGCTTTGCAAGGCCGAGGTCTGTTAGTTTACAACGGGGACGAACGGGAGGAGATTAAGGCCTTTCTTTCTACTACTGTTTGGCGCATCCTCAAACAATCACATTTTGCCTCCCGAGCAATCACATGCAATCAGAGAGTACAAAGTGAATCCGTGTTAATTTGTGTAAATGCAAACCAAAACGGACAGTGTTTCCCAGAATGCAGTAGATCCACACAGTGAAACGATGAAGCTCCTCCCCTTTAATTTGACCCGTAGACCATCAGACCAACTCTTCCCTCCTTTCAAAAAAAAAACATCCATCTCACTTTATCCAAACATCAACAAGTGCATTAGGACACGACTGAATGTTCCATGCTGTCGATGTCCCGATCACGAGATGTTTCAACAGAAGAGGGGGAGGAAAAAGGCAACCTGGAGTGTTCGCCACGCTCGGTGTCGGTGGGGATGAAGTGAGTGTATAAAAACGCATTACAAAAAAAAAACAAAAAACAAGACAACAGTTTCTTCTTTCTGGTGGAGTTTCTTTCTGTTCTCTAACTTGTATATAAACTGTAACGTGAGAAGCTGCCAGTTCAGTACATTTGTCAGTGTGTTTCACCAGTGTTTCCATCGGCGTCAGTGGGGGTGGTGCCAAGATTGTTTTTTTTTTGTTTGTTTATTTTTTTTTTACTTGAATATTAATTTGAACTCATCACTCACAGTGCCATTTTACCTGGTTGTGTATAAACATTTATTTTTCTATGTTCATCATTTGGATCACTGTGTTCGGTGACGCTGTCCAGCTACTGTAGCAGAGCTCCGAGGTGTCGCGCTGCTTCGAAACGAGGAAGCAGAGGAAGGACTAACTAGTGTGTTTTCATGTGGTTTTTTTCCTTTTATTTTTCTCTGTGTGCGTGTGTGTGTGTGTGTGTGTGTGTGTGCGTGTGTGTGTTATAGCTGCACTGATTATTATCAACAACTGTGATGACTTTTTGATTTCCGTCACGGCTTCGATCTCGCGACCCGAGAGTTGCCGCCTGAGAAACTTAACCTTTAGAAATCTTTCAGTGGTTGCTGGTGTGGTGCTTTACATTGGTGCTCGAAAACCATAATCACCAACCCAAACAACCTCAAGTTACAAGACTGCTCTGCGAAGGTCTTTTATTCCGGAAGGTTGATCGTTTTGATTGTAATCTTCGTCAATCACTTCTGCATCGTGGTGAATGTAGGCGACTCAGCAGTAATGTACTCCAGCTAGAATCAGTTCGCTGTTCCTTTTTTTTGTGTGTTTAGAGTCTGTGCTACACACGAATGACTCCTGCTAACTGCAGCGAAGGAATGAATTTCAATCCGTAGGTCTTAAAAAAAAAAAGCTAACGATTTCTACTTTAACAATAAGATGCCTGCTCTTAATGAAGTGATTGTTGGTGCAAGTAAAAAAAAAATATCTCTCAGAATACACGTTTGTAACACATGAACATAGTGCTTCGGAAACAACGGGCATTGACGTTTTATTTGGAAAGGGGATCTAGAGGTCACATCTTCAGGTTCGTTCAACAGTATTCGTTCAGCCGCCGCTGTGCACGAAACCATCCAGACAGTCGTTACAGTGAATGATTTGCCACTACATCCCATTCTTGATTGTATTTTTTCCATCATGAGGTGATTTTTTTTTTTTTTGTGAGAGAAAAACGACTTTTTCTACCTAATGTATTTCTAGCTTTGCATTCTTTTTATGTCTGAGACTGCTGAGGAAGGCTCGCTAGCAGTTTGTATGTAAAAGGATTTATTTATACTTTTTTCATAGTGAAAATCATGAGACGACGACCACTGACGCGCAGAACTTTGTAATGTTTACCACTTTAACGTCTAGCATTTCAGGGCATCACAGGTCAAGGCGCCTTTCTTTGATGTGTGTTTTCTTATGATCAAATGGAAATGAAAAAGAAACAAAAAGAAAAAAAAAACATCTGTAACTTAAATGTTCATGGGAACAGAACCTGATATTTGTCTTCTCCTCTCAGTTTGTACATAGGATGTGTTCATTGAAATTTATGTACAGTCTTTTTGTAATAAACAGCTCATTGAAACACATGACAAAACTGTGTGTTTGGTACCCAAAGTTATTCGTCCTCAACGAAATACAAATAAATATCATTACAGATTTGTGAATAAATAACTTTTAAAATATTCTCTCAGACATGTAACACTGAACCTTTGTCTCTTATTGGATTAAATCGGCTGAATCGAGGCCGATGCTGCTGCTGTAGCGTCTCAAACATGAGCGTGTCCAGGAGGAGGAGGAGGGATGAAGCTGGGCGGAGGCTCATGTGGGTATCCGTCAGCGTCTGTGGCTTTGGATGGACTCGTCCGAGAGGCGTGACCGTTGGATCTGTCTAGAAACACGATCAAAAAGATTAAACCCAGAGATTTTACTGATAAAATACTCAACGTTATAGGCAGGGAAATTCCTGTTCTGCAATTTCTGCTTTCCTAAACTTTTTTTTTTTTCCTTCGCTGTTGATCAAAACCAGCAGCACTGATGTCCTCGAACATTTTTAAGAAAAACACCCAAAGTAACATAAATGGAGACACCTTTAGAGTCTGCTATTGGCTGCTTCAGTGATTAAAGGTGTTTTGGATGGGCATTTTTAAAAATCTTATTTTAACAGTGCTACTGTTTAAAATAACATTTTTGCATCTTCACATTAATTACACAAGATGTAATCTACAACTTAATTATGGTGTATTATTATTATCGGAAAGTCCTGCAGTGATGCCGTATTATTAAATTAGGTTAAGCTATTGATCTTCATACAGAAAGAAGTTTGAAAACTAAGAGCCGTTAATACAGTCATTAAAATCACTTTCATCTTTAAAATCTGTACCATTAAAGAAATGAAAACGTTTATACATCAGTAATTATAATAAAAAATAATGTACACTCTTTTGAGTAGAGCCATTCTGCAGTACTTTAAGTCTTGGTGCTTTAGGTTACAATCTGACTAATGCTGGATTTTTTGGGGCCAATACCAATTTATGGGCATAAGACATTCTAATATTAATACATTGATGGCTAAAGCATCAAATTCAAAACCCTGACATTTGCTTACAATGCGACCAGCTCCCTCCTACCTAAACTCTCTCATTCAGATCTACACTCCCTCTGCTCGACCAACAAAAACCACCTGATACAACCACTGCAACAGGTTGATAGCGAGACTCTTCTCCTCTGTGGTTCCGCGCTGGTGTAACGAGTTACCAAACTCTGTTCAATCTGCTGACTCCCTCTCTGTCTTTAAGAAAAGACTAAAGACCAGCTCTTCACTGAACACCTTTGCACTTGACAGACTGAAAACAAACAAAAAAACCCAAAAGAAAATCCTATTACCTCTCACACAGCCTGCTATCGGCATCAACGCCCTATCAACTTGAATTTGTTGTATGGCTCTTATCCAGGTTGTTTTTTCCTGACTAGATCCTTGCTTGTGTTGTATCTGCTCTCAGATGTACGTCGCTTTGGATTAAAGCTAAATGAAATTGTTGAATTGTAATGTGATATATATGTAACAGTTTAAAAAAGGAAAATGAGAGGTGGTTATTGTTTATTAACGTTGCAGGAATGTGCTGCTCGACTGCGCCCCACCATCTGCTCCACCCTGATGCATTCTCTGCTACATGTGCTGCAGACAGTGTTAAGAATATTGTAAACAGTGAAGTTGGAGGTGCTCTGCTTCATCAACTGTGTGGTTTCTAAATTAGAACAAGCCTCATTTTCTGTATAAAGGAGTATTTTCATGTTTGTATGTACTGAACGAGACATATTCTGATACCGATTAATCAGGGAGAGGCTTTACTTTTACTTTTAGCATATTTTGATAGTAAGACTTCAGCGTTTTGTTAAGTTAAAATGTTATTGCAGGAGTTTTACTTGTATTTCTAGACTGTTTCCATCACTGAATATTTCTTATAGGTCGTTTCACTTACCTTTGTGTCCAGCAGAAGTGAGGGTCTGCAGAGTGGACGCTCTCCGTACTGCAGCCTGATAGTTCTGATAGAGGACAGTCCCGTACTGAACACACATTCACACAGAGGACACACATTGTTTACCTCTTTGCCAGGAATGAAACGCCTGCATACATATTCACTTTTGCTGTCAGAGCGAGCGACGGAGTCTGACCTTGGCTATTCTGATGGAGTTGACCCAAAGCTGCAGTGTGTGCTCGTCATCACAGCACAGGAACTTGATGTAATGAGACTCTTTCTGGATGCAGGGATGCTTTGAAAAGACAGAGAGAGAGATCTGATTAACAGGGCATTCCAGGGAGAATTCAGGGAAGAAATCTGATGCAGCACTACACTTCTCATCATGCAGTTCAGTTGTGTCTTTTGGAAGATCCTGGACAAGCCTCACATGTTTCAACTCTGCACTCCAAAAGTCAAGCAGAAAGTTCCCATGATTTGACTACAAATGGTAGACGTTGATCAGACCCAACATTAAAACCACCAACAAAGAAGTTGTCAAAATAACATCCACAGGAATACCAGGACCACCACTATAAGATGTCCGATGTTGTTCACTACACCTTGCATTTGTCTGAGAAGATTCTCAGTCATCCAGGTTGTGGTTGTTCTTGTAGATTAATGGTAGCATCTGGACTTGCTTGAGTTCCTTGAAGACGTTGGGAGTTAAGGAGCCGTTACCACCTGAGTTGGCTCCTTGAGGATATCTGGAACTCCCAACTAGTCAGTCAGAAGTGATGAAGCCTCTTGGATGAGAGGTGGAACGTCTTCAAGGAACTCAAGCAAATCCAGTCGCTACCTTTAATCTACCAGAATACATCTTGTAAAAGTATGGCTGATCACTGCGTCTGCTGAGTTTCTTTTTTAATATATATAATTGTAGTGAACGTATCAGCCAGCAGAGGGCGGACCATACCAAGCTGTAACTGCACCGTGGGCCATGATGCAAGAATAAATCTAGTATAGCCTCATAAAACACAAGCAAATATTAATTTTGACCACAAGCATCGCTGCGGCTTCATCAGAACCAGACGAATATCATAAATTCAGCATGTGACTAACATCATATTAATGGTGTAGATAGATTTATTTCTTTGTACTCATTTGCACAGATGAGTTGTTTGGTAGAACAGACAGGCTGCCAAAAAAAAAAAAACAACCTCCAAACCCCACAGGTCAATATGTTCAAAACCAGACCAGGTCTGCTGTTTTTTTGTTGTTCTTTTTTTTTTTTTTTTCATCTTCCCACTTCCTCACAACATGACTTAGCTTTCACTGCTGCCAACATGACTAACACTTTTAATGTCCTCTGGCAACTTGATCTCTATTTGTTGCACTGTAGGAGTGCAGTGCAACAGCGTAGGGTTTTGTGGGGAGTCTTGCAGGGAAAGTACTACATAGTTAATGTACTTTAATAATAATGCTCATTGGTGTACTTTAGATGCATCTACTCTGGGATTCCTAAAGCCCACTTGGTACAGGTTAATGCAGCAGAACGTGTCAAGCCTTCAAAGCACCAGCCTTCACTTTGCCATGCTCTTTGTTCAGACCTGCTGTTGCCTGAATTAACGTGTGTGATATAAAAAACCCTCCTGCAACATTGCAACCTCAGTGCTGGTCACCTTTGCTCAGTTTCTATTATTTGTCTTCTTAACTTTCTGCCTCCTTTCTCAGTTTCTTGTGTATCTTCTCTCCAAAGAGTTTAAACCAGATTAACAATTGTGAACTGAAGTATCTAAAACTTAGAAGAAACTTGTCGACAAGTTCGAGTGTCTGTGATCGCAAAACTTTTTTGTTAATGTAGATAACTCAAAAAATGTCTAATTTCCTCCCAGTGTCAATGGTTTGCTTTTGCTGTGCTTCTATAATACCATGATATGGTTGGCTGGACAGAAAAATTAGGTTGTTTTGATAAAGCATGAGAGAAAAATGGAGCTCAGTGCTCAGTTATCCAAGCACACAAACTAACATTAAAGTCTGTAGTCACTCTGTTGTCTAATGCAATGTCCTTTCTGGTCAACGCTCCATCCAAGAAAGAAAGCGATTGTTTACAGACAGAGACAGACGAGCACATTTGCAGAGCAGAGCTGAAGGTGACAGTAGGTATCGCTAAAGTCCTAATAAACACCACGATCTCACACAAGCAATCCCCCGAATAGTTCAGTCGATGGTGTCAGTGCAACTTGCTGGACGATGCTACGCTAAGAGTTTTGCTGTGCCTCTTAGCATGTGGCTAATGCTATGTGGGGTACCGTAATAGCAATCTTTTCTAACTGACAGACACGCCTCCCTATAGCAGAGACACAACCCGCAAAATCTGAACAAGAAGCAATGCCATATCCACTAATCAGGAAACTAGCAAGTACTACAGAGGTTAAGGCTAATAGCTAGCAGCTACGTTAGGCACAGATTACCCCGAGGCAGTTGCTGGAAAACAAGAAATCTTTTAAATATGAGCATAAATACATAATTAAATGGACAAAACAGTGAAGGATGGGGAAAACAAAGAACAGTACATGTAGCTGCAGCAGATTAACTGTTCAGTATTGATTGATCGGCCTAACAAAGGGGCGCACTCTGATGTCTTCACTCCTATTTCTGTTGGGCGTATTCAGCTTTACAATCCTTATTAGCTAAGCAACCTAGTTATAAATGACACGTTCCCTGCTGTCAGATGTTGGCAACATATAAGATTTAGTGTACATCAGTTTCAAATATCAGTCATTGGTCTTTCCTGATCACCGCATTGATCAGTATCAGTCTTGGAAAAAACAAAAACCGAATCAGACGATCCTCACCTCAGAGAATCACTGATGTTTGAAATCGTACAAACAGAACCAAGATTTGGGTTCATGACGAAACAAAAACACTCTGAATGTGTCTCAAAGTGTACTAGTTGCCTGAAAAAACTTCTTGAATGTCTGAATGGGACATGGATTGATTCTTAGAAAGCACAGATGGGTAAAAAATTGGGGGAAAAAAAGATGTTTACAGGGTTTTTGTTGTTTAATATGGCTCAGATTACCATATTAGTCTTCAAATGGAAAACGGAGAAGTATGTATATTAGATATGCTCTTAAGCAGCTTTGGTGCCTCAAAGAAGAAGAAACAGCCTTTATTTATCACAAATACTCTACAGCACTGTGAAATTCTCCTGCCGTATATCCCAGTTAGGGTCAGAGTGCAGAATCAGCCATGATAAGGCCCTCGTGGAGCCTTGCTCGAGGGCCCAGCAGTGACCTTCTGATCAGCATCCCAGAGCTTTAACCGTCAAACTCCCACCGCCCGACTGATGGTGATTAAAGTTGTTGTGCTGACCTTTAGCATGAAGCAGAAGTTGGTGGGAGCTTTGTATTTCTGTTTGTAGTTGCTGGTGGTGTAGACATTGACTTTCTCAAAATGGACGAAGCAGGCGAGATCACTGGACGACTGGAATGCAGAAAAACATCAGAAAATCACACAGAAATGACTTCACAGACTGGCATCACAGACCAGGCAACATGTCTATAAATGCAGTTTATACACAATGTAATCAGTTTTCCAGCATTTTTTTTTAAGGAGCACCAATCTAGAATACTTTTACAGTGTAATCCAAGACATAGCATGAATTAGAATAGCCTAATACCCCTCATTATTTCTCAACCTTTTCTGGTGGGTAACTAAACTGAGAACAATTTAAAAGAGACCAGTTCAATGCAAGGCCGTTTATCTTTATTCAGTCTGCAGAAAAATGTTCACAGTCACGCTCAGTACGTGAGAAAATATTTTGTTTCTCGATCAGTCCTTTTATTTCTGATTTAAAGCAGAAACACATCATGTTCACACATTAAACCACACTGAGTTCAGCGGGAACGACTTCAAACTTCTGTCTTGACTTCTCCCTTTTTGTTTGTTGAGGTTTCTTGTGGACCTTTTTCTGTTTTACCCATCTACTACCTTTTCTCCAACTCCCTGTCTGATTGACATTATTTTCTCGAGTCTTTGTTGTTGTGATTAAGTCCAAAGTGAGTCCATTTCCAACTGTTGTAGAACCTATGTTAATATTTTTGTGTCCTTGGCCTGAGATGATTCCTGCAGCTCTGTCATGTTTGCGATTTTGCACATCTGCCTCGCACAGTTCCCCTGCATGTTTTGGAGTTGGGAGGTTTTCTGCTCCGTCTCAGTGACAGAACGACATGTTTCTCTTTAAACAGCGGCGAGGTCTCAATTCACACTGTCCATCATCATCTCTCTGGCTCTTCCTCTTGCTTTTCTGCTACGCTTGAGCGCTCAGATGAAAGCATGACGGACTTCATACAGACACAAAGTCGCCTCGGCTCTTTGTCTAAGGACCGCTGCCATATTTATGTTTTAAAATTGCTTTTAATTTTCTCCAAAACCTGACATCATTCGGTATCAGTGGAAATGTATAGATATGCACAAACACGTCTTTGATGCAAAAACTCAACTGGTTAGCTTAGCTTGCCAAAAACACAAACTAGCTTGACGTCAAAGTAGGCTAGCTGTCCAGAATTTATTTTTTTAAACATCCGCCTGCCAGCTACAACCCACCCAAAATTCATTAATTGTGTGATGTTATAACTGGCTTACTTAAAAAAAACAGCAATAGTAGGTTGTGGTTTTACAACAAGTTGTGTGTGACATAGTTTCTTTGATAGCTTAGCTTAGCCTAGCGACTGGCAGCAGATTGAAGCTAGCCAGCTAGCCTTATCCAAACCACAACATGTCTTTTGTGAACAATATTAGCACACCAGTATGAATGAAAGCGCTTTAGAGGTGGTAATATGTTGTTTTATTTAACCTTTGGATACAGCCAGATGATTCACTGCTTCAGACTTTCATGTTAAGCTAAACTAAATGATTAGCTGTAGCTTCATAAGTAGAATAGTGATGTAAGAGTGCTATGTTATGGTGCGATCCATTTGAAAAGAGTTCCCAGTTGAAAATATCAACTGGAATGCTGTAAAATTTTTCCAATTTGGACAATTTTTACCAAACTAAACCTCAAAACCCAAGATGACTGCTCAGAACATCAACAGTGGTGAAAGCTGCAGAAACATTCCGTTTATTAACACCGTTGTCTCATTTGTATCGTGTTAAATCAGTCGTACACTGTATGTCTAACTTCCATCTGTGGTCATGTTGGTATCTGCACAAACTTAATATGTTGGTGTCAACTGCTATCACTGGAAGCTAAACTATAAACAAAGGTTTTTCTGAAGGCGTCTGTCTTGGGTTTCTGAGTTGTTGAAATCGACTGGACGTCATTCCCAGCTCCGACATCTGACCTTACTCTTAAGTAAACGCAAAGACATCCTCCCAAACATGTCAAACTATTACTTTAAGCAAAGGATCTAATAAAACATGAAAGATTTTACTTAAAAAACTATATTCTTAAACATTAAAGGGTTAAGTTCAAATGTAAAGTGTGTACTAATTTATGCACCGCTCTAATCATGCTAATAATTGTTATCCTTTATCATTGTACCTAAAACACCTATGCTCGGCAGCCATCTTGGCAGCCATCTTGGTAACGTCCCTGAGCAGTTTTTAAGGCTAAAAAGAACAGGTCACTACTTAAATCATGGAGAGAGACCCCCTGAGTGTGATTTCAATGGATAGAGACTGCATGTATAGAATCACCAGTCAAATCTGATGCCTGAAAATAAGGTTTGAAAAGCATTTTTCCTTTGCATGCACACAATTTCCTGGACTGTGCTTTTGGCAGTGCAACAACACGACTGGCTGGATGTTTCCTGGTTCAGCTGTTACAAAACAAGAGTCACACAACCTTCATGTCCATAGATTTATATTCAGGATTCTTTAAGCAGGTCTTTTCCGGATAACATCCTTGCTAGCAATATGAATAAGATGCACCTAAAGTGGGTTAACTTACTGTTTTGTGCGAAAAACCATTCAAGGAAATGCAACCCTAACTTCACTACTTTCATTGTCATGACAACAGGCTGACAAAGTTTTTTTCTCACCTATGTGTAAAACGGTTTCACCACCCACTGACGTTGCTAAAAGTGATCTCCCACCTTCCTGTTTTCTTCGCAGAAACAATGCATTGGTGTCAGCAGTGTTGTATTACCATGCTAGTCTTTCTTTGCTTTGCCATACCTTTGTCTTTCCTTTGGGTACGTAATAGATGCCCGAGGCCCTGAGCATGAAGTAGCGAGGTTTCCAAACCTTCTTCCCATCTTCTTTCAGGTGCAGCGTTCCCTCAAGGTCAGGAACAATCAGAGCAGAACCCCCAAAATGTTCCTGCAGCATCAGAGTAGAAAGATGCAAAACTGCTCTTTTACAAATTGTACCCACACACTGATGGTGCTGATGAGGCGTGTAACTGACCTTGATCAGCAGCTCTTTGGCGTGCTGGTTGATCCCACTCGAACATGCGTTCTTCTTTTTCCACATGTAAAATACCTTCATTAAGAGAAAAGCTTAGTTTAATTTAACGGCTTAAACTTTGGCATGAAAACACACAAGGTACTCGCTCACCTGAGGGTCTCTGAACATCACATACTTCTGCGGTCTGGACACAAAATGGATTTTGTTTTCACTGTGGCGAGTCCAAGCAGACAGCAGCTCCACTAGATATTCATGATCCTCAAAGCCTCTCTCTGAAACGATGAGAAACGAAGCAAATAATTGCCTCAAACTACCTGAAAACTTTTGAAAGTGTGCATCAATCATCCGTCCGTGTGCTGGAAGTGCACAGCCTGATGATTGCCTCTGATTTGACTGAATGTTTTCCACAGTAATCTCACCGATCTGCAGCTCAGGGTCGGTCTCACACAGGCTCCAGTCGATGCTGCAGTCACAGTGCGTCTTCTCAAACAGCGTGTCCAGAACCTCTCGGACCGACTGCCTCTCGTCCACCATCAGAGTCTTGGAGCTGCCGTCGCTCATCAGCACCTTTACTATCAGCTACAAGAGTCAGCGGCTCAGTTACTGAACAGCGTTACTAAAAGGTGAGATGAGACTCAAACACCTGCCGCCTTTACCTTCCTCACTTTGGCTTCTTTCAGCTTCTCCAGGGCCAGTTTAATTTTGTCTGCCTTTGTTTGAGGTTCGCTCTGGAAACACAAAAGTGTCAATTATTGCTTCCATTTCTAGAAAATTACGACTTTGGTCATCAAATGTTGGGTTATCGTTTGCATCACCCTGGAGGATTCGGTGGTGTTTGGTGGGGCAGGACGGGCAGCTGCTGGCTCAGATCCCTGAGTCGTGGCATGTGGTGCACTGTGTTTATCTGCCTGTTGACAGGTGGAGGGTTCTGGCAGGTTTAAATTTGATCCCAGGTCAGCCACCAGAGCGTCCAGCTCGTGGTCGTCCAGTTCATTGAGCGACTCTGTGAGGAAGCAGTTGTGGTTCAAAGAGAAGTAATCACGTAAAAAAATCACTGATTTAATCCTTGAATCACCAGAACAAATGTACTACTATTTGAGACTCCAGTGCTATTGAAATGCCGCCGAGCAAGGCCTTCACTAACAGTGTCTGCAGTAAAGCTGCTCAGTTGGCAACAGATCCAACTTCCTGGAAATTCGCAATGAAACTTCCCCAGAAAATCCATCCATCTATTATCTATACACCTCTTAATCCTCTCTAGGGTCATGGGGGGCTGGAGTCTATCCCAGCTGACTCAGGGTGAAGGCAGGGGACACCCTGGACAGGTAACCAGTCTATCACAGGGCCACACTTAGAGACAGACAACCAAGAACACTCACATTCACACCTACGGACAATTTAGAATCACCAATTAACCTCAACATGCAAACTCCACACAGAAGGATCCCTATATCCATGTGGGAGGAAGCCGGAGAACCCAGAGAGAACCCACGCTGCACAGGCAGAACATCCACGCAGAAAGATCCTGGGTGTCCTCACCAGGATGCGAACCAGCGACCTTCTTGCTGCGAGGCAACGATGCCAACCACTGGTCCACCTTGCAGCCCCATTGTTGTATCTCATAATGTCATTTTTATTTACACCTGAAAGATTGAACATTTCTTAAAACTTGGAATTTCTACACTTAAGCATTGGCATTTTTAATACTTTGCCTTTAAGGTCATCCAGTTTAGGTTTTTTACTCACTTTGTAATAATTTTTCATTTCATGTCACCTCAGGTTATCTTTTTATTTATTTATTTATTTATTTATTTTAAATGAAATTAGATCCTGTTTCTGATTCCATTCAGTGTGTTCCCATTCTGTTAACCCTCCTGTTATCTTTAGGGTCAATTTGATCCCATTCAACGTTTAATGTCTCTAAATAAGTGACATTATTTTTTTAGTTTTATTTAAAGGGCTATTTACACATAAACTTGTGTAACAATTTTAATCATGATAATTTTCTGGAGGTTCAAATTGCTGGAGTCAAACTGACCCAAAGGATAAAAGATGTAAGAGGTAATAGGAGGGTTAATGATCGCTCTCAACAGATGCTTTAATTGTCAGTAGTGTCGTCAACCATTCCTGTGTGTAATTTAAGCCGCCTACCTACGTATAACAACGGAGATGTAATACAGTTTTATTGTTTTATTCCACTGATCTCAGTGTCACTGTTTACTGCTCACTCGTCTAACACGCTGTCAGAGCTGCATTCCAGCTTTAATTTATTCCAAATAACTTACATCTCTGTATTGTACCCATTTGGAGTGTTTGCTTTGATTTAAGAACTCAATCACATTCTTCAAATTTAGCACAAAAGGTTCTCTGGAGAACTTTTACGTAAATATTCCCATACATGCTGCGTAGACACGATCAGTTTCTAACCAAACTAATTAAGTGCATGACTGATGAACTCTAAAAGATGTTTGGGCTGAACAGAAACAAAATTAACGCAACAGTTTGAATCAGTCTTTTGGAGTTATGACAACTTGTAATGGAATTATATTCAGCCAGCGAACTTGTTGAAATCTCAGGCGTATGGCCGACGTACTGTGGCTGTGTCCACCTCTGTTGTTTGTTTTTATGAAGCTGAGAAGAACATTAAATGTGACCCACGTCTGAATGACAGAAGGCCATCGCTTTAACAGAATAATGAACCCGACCATGTTCTGAAAAAGGCCTTAATTTACTCATAATAAATATAACAACTCTATTTGTGCTTCCCTATAAAACAAATGTCAAATTGGCAAATAATGAAAACAAACTAGATACCATCCCAAACATGTAATGTGGACAAGATAAAGTAGTTAAGTCAAGTCAAATCTACATTTTTTTTATGCAGCACATTTAAAACAACAGCTGTTGGGGTTAAGACCTTATATTTATATTGTTATTTTACTTCATATTAGATGCAAAAATACTCTTTTACCTGACTGTAATACATATTAAGGTTGAGACTACAGTGTTGTTAATTATGGAGGATAACCAAACTAGTATAAACGTTAAGGCTAGGACGCTACGATGTGTCTGAGCTACAGTCTTGAGCGTGGTATCACTCACCTCTCAGTTTCAGCCAGAACCATCCTGGAACACAACTTTCTCACTTTGTACTGAAAGCTGAAGCTTGTTTTGTTGGCACAGCTTCTTAAATTCACCTTATCTGTTCATACCTTTAATTCCTAACAGCAAAACCTTTTCTTACGCCAAAGAATCCAACATTTTCAAAGTGCCTTTTAACAAACTTTTTTTTCCTGATTACTCAGTGATGTCTTTTCTGGCATGAGAAAAAAAACAGCTCCCTCCCTCCAAAGCTCCAAAAGAAATCTTATCTCTGGAAAGCCTTTACTTTGAGGATACTTTGAGGGCAGCGTGACTCTTGCTTCTTTGACACTTCAGATGTTTCCTGCTCTACGTGCTGATTTGAATGAGCTCTCACCGTTCAGGTCTGTGAAGCCGATAGAGAAAGTGTTTTCTCTCAGCGAGGCCGGATCCGCTTCTGGAGGCATCAAACTCTGCAGAGGAGTGAAGTGATTAATACATGAATACATCATCGGAGCCATCAAAACGATTAAAAATCTGATAATCTTAACACAGAAGTCGTGTTTTTAATAGAAGCTACAGCAAAACTCGTAATCAGATCAGGCCACATGTGTCCTTGAATGATTCCTCAGCGGCTTTCTGTAATTTATCAAGCTCTGTCTTCAAGCTGCACTCCACATATGTGGAGATAATAAATCACAAGTGAGTATATTAAGAGAAGGAAAAAAAAACTAAGGAAATGGCTCAAACATTACTCTGAATTAAAGCATCCCAGTTGAATCCGCGTCTGTACGATTTTAATCATTAACATGCTGCACAGTCTGATTCCATAAACAAGGCGGGCAAACTGAAAACCTGCACACAGAGCGATGCCTGCCAGCATCAACCATGAGAACACATGTCGTCAGGCTGGAGCTGCTGCTTAAACACCTCCAAGCCTCTTTAAAACTGGGATAAAATAAAAAAAGCCTCTTTGTTTTGTGGCTTTAAGGCAGTAAAGCAGAGGAAGAATGGACCCAATAAGTGGAATCATTTAAATCCTTTTGTTTCTCAGACTCCTCCAGGATCAACGCTTTAATCAAAATCCTCCTCTAACAGACTCTGGTAACAGTCTGTGGAGTGACTTTCCAACAAAGGACGCGTGCCAACGTGACATGTCGAGTCTTTCTGGTATTTCTGATGTAATACCGAACATAGATTGATCCCATTCTCAGGGCCGCGTTCATGTTCAGCTTACAGGCAGAGGCTGTAAATGGACAGTGATGAACTGCACCTCAGGCTGGGTTTTGCATCAGCTAGAAGCGTGTAATGTTTTTCTTGGCGAGCCGCAGATCTATGATGAGCAGCTTATGTGTGCTTAGGCGGAATCTGCAGGAGAGTTTTGCCCCAGATGTCGTCACAGCATCGCCTTACATTTTTCTGCGCGATGCTCGGTTTCAAAACAAAAGGCCGCCCGGCGTAATCAGATAATGTCGGGATTAGTGAGGAAAACGTGGAGCGATTTGTCTGATTCACTTCTCGTAACCTGCTCCGACTTCAAAAGGCGTAATGGGAAGGAGCCTCATCTGGTCGTGTTTTGAGAAGTAATACGAGCGTTCTGCTGAGCATCATAACATATGTTGTCTGATGTATTTTTAGCCTTGTTAGCGGAGTTCATGCTGTTTCACCATTTGGATTCAAATGGAAATAACTTGGTGGATTTTTATGACATTCATGGTTCCCAGAGGATGAAATCTAGAGTTTGCTGACTTTCTCTTTAGCACCATTCAGTTCTATTATTTACAATACTTTAGCTGATGCCCGAATACCTGCAAAACTACATGAAGTCACATCATCTGCCTTCAATAAGTAACTTACTCTAGCAGGCTACATGGGGATCATAATCCTGCTGAACATCCTCATGTTAGTGTTATTAAGGGTAATCCCACAAGTTTGGACGTCCTCCCAAAACACACATATTGGTACATTTTGCAACAACAACCATAAACCTCCTTCAACAAAGGTCTTTAAACCACTGCTGCCACCAAATCCCCAAAGAGGAACCGTCTTGGTTTGGGGGTTCTGGTTTCTGATTATGTTTTGTAAGTTTACCTCCTTTGTGTTTCCTGTGTGTCTGCAACACTTTCAGACGTGCATTCTTTTCCATCAATCCAATAGTATCTGAACGCTTCAATGTGTGAATAAGCCTTCTGGTCACACCTTTCGTTTGTGAATAAATTACTCTCAGCGTGGCACAAGTCTGAACTATATGGATCGGCTGGTACGAGTGATGTGCTTTCAGTCGTGTGAAGTGATTTCAGAAAGGCCTTTCCCCACATTTCAGCACCAACGTTGGTCCAAAAACATCACATCAGTTTGCTGTTAAAATCACAACATACCTTTCTCGTTGGCTTCGCTCCACACATCTATTACAGACTGAAAGTTTGTGACAGATAAAGATGTCTATAAAAATCAAACTTCACTGCCATGAAAACAGAGACTAAGAGCTCTGATTTAAAACACGCACCAATAATAAATGTAATCCAATGTTTTTTGGCAAAAGATTACAGGAGCTGGAGTTGAGTTCAGACTCATAATGGAGCCTTTCTGTTTCCACTGAGGTGTAGGATCCAACAGCTTCGACTGTGACTTTAACTCTGATTGGGCCAAACAATGACAAATAGTAGTGATTGGATGTAACCACTATTATCAGAGGTAGGACAACGGAGGGTTTGTTATACATGTTGTTGATGGTGATGGTAGAGAGGAGACTTCTACTTAACATCGAGAGGACAGGAAAAGTGGTGATGATGGTCTTCTCCAAGTCAGTGTCCTGCACAGCTCAGAAGCTCCTACCTTGGAGTAAGCATTGCTTTCTCCTCCCCAAAAGCTCATGAAAGAGGTTCTACATGGACGGTTGCTCCAGTTGGAACATGCACAAAGATTTAAGCTGCCCTAAAACGAGTTCCTGCAGTGGAAAGTGGCTGAATGTGACAGTCAGCTCACAGCACCACGATGGTAGCTGTAGACTCTTCGCCTTTCTAAAAAAAAAACAACACAACTCACCTGAGAGAGATGATCAATCTCTCCGAGCAGGTGACTGAACATGTCGTCTATTTCATCCATCTGTGAACAGCAGAACAAGGAATTTAGTTTTCAGCAGCGGTAGAGGGAAATAATGAAAAAAAACAAAGCAAAGGAACAACAAAGCAAGAACCGAAAACTCTGGACAATTTCAGTTCGGTTTAAATTCAGTTTCAGGCTCCTCGTGCATCATTTCTGTTTGTTATCCAGCAAGTGGAAAAACTGTGAGTGGCACTCCGGGGAGAAGGCCGGCAAAACAACTGACATTTTTGTGGTATTAACACACAAACACTGTGTGCACATGTACACAGTTTGGATGTGGCTGTCACTGCTACAAAAACAGATAAACAATATGCAACGTATGTGCTTAATCACTCACAGCTAGAAGAAAAGAATTGAAATGAGATGGCTATTTCTAAATATATCACCAGCGACGCTCTGCAGTGTCATCGCTGCGACTCTACAAAGTGACAGAGCAGCAGAGTGGCAGGTTCAAATGGCTTCCATGCTGCTCTGAGTGTGGAAAGTTGTTTTTAATCGCCGTCCAGCGAATTTCATCTTGCTGGATGTGAATTTAATTGAAGACCTCCCTTGTGTTTTAGGGTTCATATCCCATTTCTTATAACTCATTTAAACATATTCTCTTGAGCTGCAACTTATAAAACTGAATTGCTGATAATTCCTTCGTCTTAATTTGCTGACAGACAATACATGACGATAATCTGTTTCCCCATCTGTAGTCTCCAGAACTCATGGAACGATCTGTGAATGAAGAGCGAGAGCTCGAGCCGGAGCGCATCATTTCCTATGCACTTAATTGATCATTCCTGCGAAGACGCTACGTTGAGATCAAAGATTTTCATCAGCCAACAATTCTGTGAATCTCAGCATCTGGGTTTTTCCATATGGAGGCGGCACCTCGCCAGCTTTAGGATCAAAAATGCATCTTGCATGTGGACGGGCTTACAAAGCAATATGAAGAATGAGCTCTCTGCTTCTTGCCAACCCTGTGGGACTGTTGCTATGCGTGGTTATCAATAACAATACGTACTAATGTATGGCAAAGTGGCCTGCATAGACACTGTGTGTTAGAAGAGGAAGCAACAGAGGTGGTGGTTGTGGTGGGATCTGAATAGAGCGTCATTTCAAAGACTTGTGGGTTAATTTTATGTCTTAATAAGGTCAGTAAACCATCGACGTGGTTTCTGTTTGTTTTTCTTTCTGATTTTCACACATTAAATTGTGTTTCTTTGCATTCACTATAATCTGACAGACATTTCTTTTTTTTTTTTGCATGGCATCACAATAGTTATACTCTAGTCCCTAAAACCTCATCTCTGTGTTTCAAAGTTACATATTTAGATTTTTTCTTGAAAATGAACATAATCCCTTTTTACCTTTTAAGCTGCAGATCTATAAAGTCCCTGCCTCAGTCTCCTCTTAGCAGCTCGAGCACTCCAGCTTACCTACAACTAAGCTGAAACACTGTAAAACCACTGAACGCTACACGACGACCAGTTGTAACGTCGGAGTAATTCAGTCATATATGTTCGAACGGGGGGGCACCGGAATCTTTCTACGTGGAGTCTCCATGTTCTCCCCGTGCAGCGTGGGTTCTCTCCAGGCTTCCTCCCACACAGTCCAGAAACATGTTGAGGTTAATTGGTGATTCTAAATTGTCCGTAGGTGTGAATGTAACTGTGCTTGGTTGTCTGTCTCTAAGTGTAGCCCTGTGATAGACTGGTTACCTGTCCAGGTGAACCTGCCTTCACCCTGAGTCAGCTGGGATAGACTCCAGCCCTAGTGAGGTGGTTATTTTGCGCCTGATGTGTCTTCAAACACGTCAAACACACTTTATGGAGAAGCTAACAAGGTAAAAACGGTCTTCCAGGATTGGCCATTTCTCAATAATTATCATTAGTATTTGCTTTATTTATGGAGGAGGCTCTTAGGTTCATTGTAGGTTTATGCACATACTTTACTCTTCAGTTTGCCTGCAGAGAAGCTTTAGCTGCCTGGATTGTGTTTACAAACCCTAAACACAACTACATCTGTGTCCAAGCGATCAGTTGTGTGCGTGTTTGGGCCTCTGAACACAACTTTCCTTGTTAAACCTACATCACCTGATTGTTTTTGTCACTTGGGAGCAGCACAAACAAGCCATAGATACAGACCCCGGCCTCCTGAAGCTGATGCTCCTATACAGTTAATCTCAGTTTAGCCTCAGGGGGACACATATTTATTACGTTTGTTTGTAATTAGCATATATTTGAGGCTTATTGTATTGCGACATCTCACTGGTCTCACTGCGACGTTGCTGGATGTATTGTTAAGAGTGAATAAATGTGTTAGACGCGAAGGCCAGAGTTTGTCTGAAGTGCAGCACACATCTGTTTGGCTGTGTTTGACTTTACATTAATACATCTCGTACATTAAAGCCGCAGCTGCCCGTATGCAGCAGGCACAGTCGGACCTGCACACAGCCACGTTTGAAACATTTACAAATTTGGCGTCCGTCTGTCTTTGCTGCTGTCTGCGTTACTTGTTCATCTTTACGCTCCGATACAAACACACATGCGGCCTAATGTGCGTATACACAAACAGAGACATGCAGCCGTGCTCGTGCTGCTCGGTCTCGCTGTGTGTTTATGCTGAGCAGTAAACAGACCATCCATTAAAGTGTAATGAGTTAAAAGGGGAACAGTGCAGAGGATGCTAGTGGACTAAGTATTGTTTCCATATGAAAGTGAAATTTTTGGATCCCCGAAGTGAACTTTACCTTTGCGGCCTCTCGGGACTTCTGCCTCACACATGTGAAAGTCAGCCCGAACTTCTGTCTCATTTAACGCTTTCATTGACTTTACATGTTAATGCTGGATATGTTAATTAGAGCCGCTGTGTGTTCTGAGCGCCGGGCGTGTGATCAGCAAAGCATGCGTTACAAAACCACATTTGTTTAGAAATTCCATGCTCTCATCAGGCATGTCGGGGTGTTGCTGCCGTCTCCCACTGTGGTCTCGCACATCAGCAAAAAAGGAGAAACCGCCAAGAGACAGACGGACAGCCAGGCAAACAGGCCGCCGAGCCAAACGCCCGGCTACAAAAAAAGCCATTTATTGAGACTTATATGCATGAAAGGAATCACAATGCATTGCCTGCTGACAGTAAACTGACATGTTTTCTCTCTTCTTGTGGTCAAGAGCTTCTTAATGTTTTCTAATTTGTTGCACAACCATCCCCTGGCGGCTCGGAGAGAGGACATGTGTTTGTCTTAAACAAAGCTGATGTGACTGTTCAAGTATTTAACTCTTAACGGCACTAACAGAAAGGAGGATTGTATATATACAGTCGTCCTCAGATCTATTCTTCCATGAAAGAAAAGGCAAAAATCACAACAGTCACTCAAATAACTAGAAACTGAAAAAAGTAGTAAGAAATAAAAATTTGCTAAATTATAATTGAGTGAAATAAGACACTGCTTTTGAATTATGGATGAAAAGAATAATTTAGAAAAACAAACAACAATAATTGCCTCAAAGAGTTGTTCAACAAAATATTAACTTATGGGTCCCATCATGCTTGTTTTTTTTTTTCTTTTCTTAATATTTCTGTTGAACCACAATTCAAAAGCAACGACATGATTTTCATTAAATTTTTATTCATTATTACTTTTGTCAATTTCAACTTATTTCAGTGACAGCTGGTTTTTTCCTTCTTTAATGGGAGGGCATGAATACATTCGAGGACGACTGTTTATATATGGGGCTGCAAGGTGGCTCAGTGGTTAGCATCGTTGCCTCACAGCTAGAAGGTCGCCGGTTCACTACCCATTGAGGACACCCGGGATCTTTCTGTGTGGAGTCTCCATGTTCTCCCCGTGCAGCGTGGGTTCTCTCCAGGCTTCCTCCCACACAGTCCAGAAACATGTTGAGGTTAATTGGTGATTCTAAATTGTCCGCAGGTGTGAATGTGAGTCTCTAAGTCTGTAAGTGTAGCCCTGTGATAGACTGGTGACCTGTCCAGGTGTCCCCTGCCTTCACCCTGAGTCACCTGGGATAGACTCCAGCCCTGCACACAGCCACGTTTGACCCTAGTGAGGATTAAGGTGTATAGATAATGAATGGATGGATGTATATATATATATATTTATGTGCAGGACTACATGGTGAGATTCTGATCGATCACACAATACTATCAGGAAGTTGTGATCAGTCCCAGAGCCGTTCTGAGTCACACCAAACACACAGCCGGAGTCATAAAGCAATATCTCCAGCAACAAGAGCAACATTACAGTCAGTCTGGGATTAGATGAACTCAGACAGCCTGAATCCACAAATGAACTGAAGCAGCTTCTCAAATATTAAATTGATTTTTCTTTTACAACACTTACTAGGAAGAGAACTGAAAAAAAAACTCATTTACATTCTATAGCGTTCTTACCTCTGCTGTGTCTTTCACGCTTGATAGCACCATGGAGTGGAAGTGCCAAAAAACACCCGCAGGTCACTCTATAAGTAACCACTGGTGCACGTGACTCTGCAGATAGCAGCTGAGTGTTCTGTGAAACCAGGAAGTCATTGTGACTTTTCTGGTAGAGCAGAGTGAGGTTTTCTGTGTTGTGTTCATGTGCTGCTCTGTAGCTGATAGACTGATACAGTACTCATGTCTTTGTTTCGCTCAACTGTGATCCCAAACACAGGTGTTGTCATGTAATATGTCAGATCAGAGCTTTCTTTGGGACTGTGTGGGCAAGTTCACATGAGAATCAACTGACATCTGCTACATTATTATATATACAGAAATACTTGTGATGAAGTATGTAGGGGGTTGACAACATCAGAAAACGTCCAGCCAACCTGCATCCAATCCAACAGTGTGTTTAAAGGCCACTCACAGAAGATTTACAACACTGCTCAGAATATAATATGAATCTGTTTGTAAAGCACTGAGGAGTCAGAATTACATTTCTGATCTACTAACAGCCATCAATAGAAAGTAAGTTTATTTGTTTTGCTGTTTTTCAAAATCATATTTCCATGTAAGTGTTTTTTATTGCCTTATATTTCTTGTCAAATATAAAGCAGATGACAACATTCATTTGTCAACAACACTGAAGAGCCCCGTGTGACAACAGAGCCTTTAAAAGTCACTTGAGGTATTACAGCAGATACTACATTTATTAAATCCAATACTAGCTTATTTTAAAAGTGCAGTATGCAATGTTTTAAACACAAATCTAGCAATAATAAAGCAGAGAGTGGAGTCACGCTCCCTCTGCTGTGATTCCAGCTCCTCTGCTCTGTGTTCTGGTTCTATGTGCATGTGAGTCCCTCCGTCTGAGACTGTTTCAGCTGGTTTCCCTAAAAAACCTAAAGAATTTGAAAACAATGCATTTTATTTACATTAATGAGCTCAGTGCCAGAGTCTCCACAGCTGTTTGGAAGCTCTCCCCTGTTTCTCATTTCTCTGTCCTGCTCCGGTCCAATAAATTGTAGAATCGGATGCACACAGAGTGGAACAGAGTGAGTGGAGAGTCACGTGAGGTGAAGATAGTGTTACAGTGCTAGCACGGGCTAATGGTTGTGGCTGGTTTATTTTTGTGTTGGCTCTTGTGTACAGAACCTTTCTAGGTGTAAATGAAAGTGAAGAGATGGGGGAGGCATGACTGATGTACCAGCTGGTTTTGGTCTGAGATGCTGGTGCTCTCACGACATCAATTGGTTCTGAAAGGATGCACACAGAACCTGAAAAAATACATTTCTAAGATGTTGTGCAGGTAAATGCCACATGTTTGACTTGTAACACTTGCTCCTTATTTGTCTTGGAACACTTTCTTCCTTTCAAGGGCCCGAACTAACTATTAAGAAATACTCACAGCACGAAGGCAGAACTCCGATCACCAAATAAGCTAAAGTCATTTTACTGGTTGGTTCTTTACAGTCGCAGCACCTTGTGAAAGGGCAGAACCGATTCAGTGGATTCTGGTTCCTGATCAGACAAACAGCTCAAAGCAGAATCCTGTTTGGTTGAAACATCATCAAGCATAAACTAACAGTGACAGTCATTTCCCAGCCTGCTGGGAAAAGCATGTTTTTTTTCTTTTCAGTTCTCTATTACAGAGTTTACTGTAATGATCCACATCAGATTTCTCTTACAGAAAAACCTACTTGGCCATAAGACTGATTGTGAAATAAAAACCTCACAGCAGCAGATTGGAGTGGTTTGTAATAAACACGTGCAAATAAGGTCCTCCATTAAATACTCACAGAAATAGGACTTTTTTTTAAAGTTATTTTTTTTGGCCTTTATTGGATAGTGTTAGTGAGAGAGACAGGAAAGTGGGGGAGAAGAATGGGGGGAAGACATGTGGGAAAGGGTCATGAGCGGGATTCGAACTCATGACCTCCACATTGGGACTGTAGCCCTGCACATGGGACGCCAGCTCAACCAGGTGAGCTATAGCGGCGCCCCAGAAATAGGACATTTTGAAACACAGGTGAAATTATGAACATTAATGCTATATTCACAGTCCTGTCGTCTTGCTCACTTGCACGACTGACACGCCTAAAGTATATTTAATCTAAAAGGCTATTCTCTAATTCTACATACAAGCACGGATCACAGAACGCGTTGTGTTGCGGTGGCACATGTTTCAGCTTTGCCCTGACGTAAATTGTTTCTGATAGGCTGAAACTGATACCTGTCATCAAATGTTACATTTACTGTTTCCCACTGACCGGCCATGTGTTTGTGTTTACTCGGAAAACAACAGAACAAAAGGAACTATCAAAAAATATATGGACTCCAGCGGTGCAGCGAGGACTTTATCCCCTCCAACAAAATCATATTGGACAAACTGGAATGTGACCACATGAGGACAAATAGGAGAGCCAACGAAGAAGAGCTGCTGTCATGGATACGATGCATACAAAGCAGGAGCGTCGCACTTTTTTATGTGCTGAAGATTCAGATATGTGCGGATGGTGTGTATGTTTTGTCGTCTGACACAAAATAAAGCGAACATAGTGCATAAGAGTTGAACGTGAGGTCAGGATGAGTAAGCTGTCCAACTACTCCTTGATAAGATCACGCTGTTTCATACAGAGCAAGATACTGATGATAGTAACGCTAGAAACCAAATACAAATTAAGAAACTTTGCAGTATTTTAGGTGTTCTGGTTATTGGACATTGATCGAGTTGTGACTTCTAGTAACTGTGGTCTGTTTGTAGAGTTCCTCCTCGAGACCTAACATCAGTCACCACACTCAGCGTCATGTGTGGTCTCAGTTTAGCTTAAGTCAGTAAATTATATCCAAAACCGCCTCTGACATCACCTGCTGCGTGTTTGCCCTCTTTTAAGAAAGTCTAAATTTCCAACTCGCTGCCTTCATCATGTGGCTGTTTATAAGCACCTCTGAGTGATTTATTACAAACTAATGCTGCGAGATGGAGCCCTGACGCACCAGCTTGCATCTACTCTGTGCGAATGAGAGAGCCGGTGCCATTTTACTGTGAAAATGAGAAGAGAGGGGAACGTTTAAGTATTTCTAATGTGGGTTAAAGCTTTAATCAAAGCCACGTGGGGTCAGGGAAGGGAAATGAGAGTGGCAATTAACTGCAATAAAGTTTACATTTTACAGGAGAGGCAGTTTTGGCTTCAACTTCACAATATGACAGAGTTGTGTTTTAAGAGTCACACCACAGCACACTAATCCACTGCTGCAGAACTTATCAAAGCTCGGATGTCATTTAAAAGCAGAGTTTTTAATTCTGACAGGGCCTGTTAAAAAGCCACAGGGCTAATCCTGTCATCAAGATGAACTGCAAGAGGAAAAGAAAGAAAGCTAGAAAGACAGAGAGCGGATTGCCCTTTGCATAGGAAAACAGTTCCATGTGAAAAACTCTATAAACTGAAATTCCAGAGAACCATGTGGATGTTGCCACGAAGTTCTGCTAAACTACTGTTTGCATGCAAAAAAACTGCTTATGAATGACTTTGGAGGGCGAGAATGAAAATAACAGCAGAAAAAGTCCAAATATCTCCCACATGCACAGCTTCAGTCGGAATGGAGTGAGTGTTCGGAGTGGTATGTCCGGGAAAGCTACGGGTTAATTTAAGACTAGGAGCAAAACCTGTTGCCAATTAGGAGCAGTGAGCGCCACATGTGGGCTAGACGTAGCTATCTCCAGAAGGGGCAAAGGGGGCAGAAACCGCGGTGCGCGCAATGGAGACAAGCTGATTGACTGTGCAGCCACTTGTTCAAGTTCAACTGGCAGTCACAGGAATGAGCAGTTATTAGTATGATGTTTATTTCTTAAAGAGATGATCAAACAGGATCCACAGGACTGAAGGATTGATGCGCATAAGGGGCCACCGTTCACACGTGGCTTGTTTACATTTCTTCACTCTTCAGGATTGCAACATGGCACGTATCTCTACGATACTTTTACTCTTTGCCACAACTTTGATCGGCACAGAGAGCGTATCTGAAATCTGCCGGGGACCCCGCTGCTTCTCCGGCCAGGACTGGAGCAGATCGTGCGTCGGAGCGCACTGCCAGGGGCGCACGGACACATCCGCGTCCCGACGGCAGTTTCAGCCTTCTGCACAGACCAGACAAGGACAAGTCTATCCGAATTACCAACAGGATGCTCATTTCAATCAGCAGCGAGCCCAGAGCGCGCCGTTAGCGCCGTACACCATCGTCCAGCCTCAGCACGGAGGCTTTACGCAGCCAGCGAGTGCGGACAACAACAGGAGGACCAACCCGAGGACCATCACGGCGGAGGTGTTTCATCCTGGCTGCGCCGGTGGGACCTGCCCGACCACAGTGTCGCATCGCCCCACTAATGATGACAGTGCAGCCCGGGAGTGCAAAGGGATCGGATGCAAACTGCCCCCTCTGATGCGCCAGAAGCACAAGCCTTGCATCGGGGACGGCTGCGCTGCTCATGCGGGAGACGACGCGAGAGGACACTCCTCACCTGTTCATGTGACGGACAGAGCGGCGCAGTTTCTGGACGAGTTCCCAGAGTTTGGGTCGGAACGTGGAGCTTTTATACAGCTGACATGTGACATGAAACCAGGTCAGTACCAACCTGCCACTGACTGATTAGAAAAGTGAGAAAATGACCATCACTTCAGTTGCTTTGTAATAGTGTGCTTGTTTTGCCACAGGGACCAACGAGGTTCCCTCAGAGGATGCTCTTGTGCTGCAGCTGCAGCTGTCCAAGAGCCAGGAGAGGCTGGTTGAGGCCCTCAGGGGCCAACAGCACGAGGTCAAGGAGCTGCAGAGGCTCCTCAGCGAGCAGCAGGGGACGCTGGTCAACCAGCAGAGAGACATACTGGAGCAGCAGAGGAGGATGTATGAGCAGATGGAGCAAGTATGTGTGCTGTGATTGATGATGAGGAAGATGGTAATAAGTGGCGGTTTTGTTATTGGGTGAAGACTTGAGAAACATTAATTAGATGAGGGGGGGTGAAAAACACCTCATCTGCACAAGTTTTATTGAGCTCACTGCTGACCTCCTTACATAAGATCAGTTCCACATGTGGATCAGAGGTGGAAAATGTTCTGCACCGCAACGGAGATGAAATATGGGCACTCATACACAGACTAATTACATCTTTTGTAGTTTAATTTGTGAATTCATATCATAAGTCATGACTATTATCCTCACTTGAATCACTTTTAAGCTATTTGTCCGTATTTAAATGTAGTTTTTGTGCCTCCAGGTAAAAGCCCAGTACAACATACTGATGGAAGGCATCAAACAAACGTCCTTCCAGAACCTCCAGGGGGAGCTAGACAGTCACATGGAAACCCTGAGTGGGCAGGTTAGAGCCCACCAAGCGCAGCAGGCTCTGTCTCTGCACAAAGTGGACATGGAGGCCAGCGTCATGGAGGTGAGCTGAGAGCTGAATCAGGACTATTTAAAAATAACGTGTATGAAAATCTAGAAGCTGACAGTCAGTGTGACACCAGAGGCCCAACCGATTTGTAAGTATACAGATATAATCACTCTTTTGTCTGACTGCAGATTGCACACATTGTAAGAACCAGACAGCAAAGTATGATATTTCCGAGATACGACATCTGTTCTGGTTAACTACTGCTGCTACCAGTACAGCTGCTCAGTTCATCTCTGACTACCATCGTGTTTGCTGCCATCAGGTCGGTCGCTCCCTGTTGGCTTGTGGCAGCTGCGGCCCTGAAGAGTACTGCGGCTTCAGCAGCGGCCAGCCTCGCTGTGAGAAATGCACCATCTGCCCAGCTGGTTTCTTCCTGGTCGCTCAGTGTTCGGTCCATGCAGACAGAATCTGCCAGGTTACTATCATTATCTTTAACCACATACAGTAGTTAAAATTCACAAAACCATCTACGTCATGTATTGGAGAAAGAAGAAAGCTTGTTTAGTTATGTTGGTGGGTCCATGAGCAACAACAAACACTGTGTGTCTTAGTGCTAGTAAAAGGTTTGATGTTACTGAAGAAACAAGGAGATAACTTTCAGGTTTATTCCTGCTTCTTATTAATTTATTCCTAAACCACTAATGGACTTTGGAAGTAGACAGGCTGTCGGTTCACTAACGTCTCACTGTTTGTTACAGGACAGAGATGAATGCCTTGAAATAGCTGATCTATGTGGAGATACACAGAAGTGTCTCAACACTCCAGGTACTAAGAACTACTGTGACGTTTTCAGTCGTCAGTGTTGTTGTGCAAAACTGTAGCAATAGAGTTTTATTTTTTTATTTTATTTATTTTACAATAATGTCAAACATTGTATTATATTATGCACAGCTAGCAAGTAGAACATCAATACATTGAGAAGAGGATCTGAGCATGTTAAAAACTGGGGTGATGTGTCCTCCTACAATACATAGCTATGTTTTCCCCTTTTCTTGACTTGCTAACTTATCATTTATAAAATAGAAACAATGGTATTTTAAGCTTTTGTAAGCATTTTTGAAACCGATCTTCCCCTCTTGTTTTGCTCTGCTGTGCCATCACCAGGTGGATTCAGGTGCCAGGGGATGACAGAGCGAGACGCCAACTCGGGAATGTGCGGCCACGGATACTTCTACAACTCCGATATGGATGAGTGTCAGGCCTGCAATGAGTGTGATGGAGAACCTGTGGCTTCCCCTTGTACCTTCACCACCGATACCGTCTGCTCCGGCCCTGCTGCCGGCGACAGCGCCCTCTCTATGTCCTGGGCTGGAGATGCGAGTCTGCTGGGGACAAAAGGCCACATCCTCGCTCACGCCTTCCCCAGCGTGCAGCTTCACATCCAGGGAAGAAGTGATGCCGGTCTGGTGTCCGCTGAGAGTGGCCACCTGGTACTGAGGCAGCACGGTTTAGTCTGGCTGGACGAGAATCTTTCGGTGAGCCACGGCTGCCGCAGCTTCATCCAGGTGTGTCTGCGGATGAACAACACAGATGGCTCTGAGGGTCGCGACCTCAGCGGCATTCGGGTGGAGCAGCGTGAGGGAAGGTCGCTTCAGAGTGTCACCGTCAGTGGGGTAGCAGAAGTCGGCCCGGGTCACATCATGTCCCTCTTCCTGCGAAGTGCCAGCCACCACTGTAACCAAAGCAGTGAAGGCCTGCAGCTGTACGACCCCGTCGGATCTACGCTCAGCCTCTTCTGGCTTTCCCACGACACCGGGGCTGTTGCCATGACAGCACAGGCGATGGTCTCTGCACATTACCACACGAACTATCGCCCAGTCTTCCGCACCACCTCCACCTCTGACCCTTACGTGGTGGGACTGACTCACGACGGCCGCGGGATCCGCTTTGCAGAGAGCGGCACGATGCGTTTTGTATTCCAGCAGGCGCTGTACTCGATGGGCCAGGCATGTGTGACTGAGGGTTTCCAAATTTTGTCATATCTCAACCATAACGGAACCAACTCGGAGCTGTTCCGTGCCTTCAAATCAGGCGTCCACTACCGGGACACTTCCATATCTCTGTCTGGGGCAGCTAAAGTTGACCCCGGGGACACGGTGGGCTTTGAGATCATCTCTCCTGCTCAGTGCAACGTGCGCTTCTTCGGTGACGAGACAGGCATCAGTATTCTCAGTTTGGTTTGGATCCCCGCTGCCATTTCTTCCTCCCTGTCTGCCGCTGTGGCTCACACAGGCCTTCCCTCAGGAGCAGTTCGCAACAAGCCGCTGTTCTTCTACCAGACCAGCCCCCATGTGTCCCAGATGGGGCTGCAGGGAAAGGGATCCGCAGATCAGAAACGAGATTTTGTCTTCAGGGAGAGCGGCACCGCCAGTGTGGCTCTGGACCTCAAACTCATCCACTCCTGCAATCTGGTCAAGGTGACTCTGCTAAGACGAAGTGATTCAGACGGGTCAGGAGGAGGTCGTGAGGCCGAGGGAGCGCGGCCCACCCCTGTGGCCCAGCAGGTGGCTGGCCAAATGCCTGAGGGCAGCCAGTGGGCCAGTGTAAGTCTGCGGGCGTCCTTCCAGGTTCACAACGGCACAGCGGTTTTCTTCACACTGGACTGTGTTCGTGGACGAGTCAACCAGATCAGCCACCAAACGGGCAGCGGGGTGTCGGTGCTGTGGGTGGCGGCATAATTAAAGCAAGCCAAATGTTGCTATGTTGTTTTTTGATATGGTTTCACGGTTTTACTGACGTCTTTTAGGAATAGTTTGAAAATTATGCTCATCAATCACTCTCATATCCATATTAATATAAAGGTTTAACAAGCAGCCTGTTAGCTTAGCCTGGAGAGGGGGAATCAGCTAGACTGACTCTGTCCATAACCATCAAAATATACCTAAAAAATTACTAATTAACCAAACATTAGTAAACACCTGCCTAATATCGCGTGGGTCCACCTCATGTCACCAAAACATCTCTGACCTGCAAGGAAATGGAAACGAGACCTTTTGGGGTGTGCTATAGTGGCAACCGAGGGGACATTGGCATTTCATCCTTCGGGTTTGTGGATTGCCAGTTGGGGTCTCTGTGGATCAGGCTTGTGTGGCTCATCATGTGGATGCTCAACTGAATTGGGATCCAGGTAGTTTGGGGTCCAAGTCAATGCTCCTTGTTATGTTCCTCAAACCGTTCCTGAGCAGCCTCTGCTGTCAGGAAGTGCCATTGCACTTCCACAGTGTTGTGGCAGCATTGGAGAATCATTCTGCCACAGGGAGCAAAAACACTCTGTTTTTTGTTTTTTTTTTACATGAATCACAATCAGGAGAAGTGTATTCGTGGAACATTTGCATGCAGGGAGGTGGTTGGTCCGAGGTTGTTGTTGTCTCCTGTAATGAAGGGGATTTTGAAGATGATAACATACAGGTAATGAAAGTCCTCGAAAGCCACATGAAGTACAAGAAAATACCTTAAGTGTACATCCAATGAGTCAAACTAATGTCAAAGTAACATCTACATGAATGCCAGGACCTCAGGCTTCCCAGCAGAACATTGCTTAACAACATGATTAACTTCGCCTGTTAGTGGTTTTACTGTTGTGGGTGATTGTTTTTTTTTTTTTTTTAGACTGTTTAATCTGTACAAAATGCGAAGTGTAAGAGCAATAATGTGTAATTTTAAGCAGGCTAGATGATTCCTCCTGCTCCCAGCCTTTGTGCTAAGCTAAGCTAACTGTCTCCTGACGGACACCTGATGTGGTGTCAATCTCCTCATTTAACTCAGTGTTAGAAACTCAATAACCGTACTTCCCAAACCTTAATCTAGCCCTTTGAGCTGCTTGATTTGTAGTAAGTAGCGTGCAGTAAATTGTTTAAAAATGATTTTGTTTTAAAAACACTCAAATATGAACTATTGAGTATTTAAAAATGTAGCAATTTGCATAAACCGTATTTATATCGTGCATCTATTAGTACAATGTCATGATTTCTACAAATGATGGCTCTTAACCGTATTCCCGTGGTATTTTCTCATGCTTCGCTGCTCTGCTTTTCCAGCCCTCTCATGTGTCTGTCTTGTATTTATGTAATTCAGTTACTCTGTTGACGCCAAAGGACTCTCACATCATTCCAGTTGTGACTACAGCATTTTCTGCTGGCGCTGGTTTTCATTCAGGAGTGCGTTTTTTAAGAGCATGTGTTTCATGTTAGCCGCCATTTTCTGATGTGAATATCTACTGCATGCCTTGTTTAAGGACCACTTTGTGCATATTATGGACTTGAAAGAGAGTCACTAAGCCCCATTGGAATTAAACTGCCATTTTAAATAGTAACACCTTGCCTTATCGTTACTCTTAACCCCAAGTAAACTGTAATAAAGTGTATATTTGATGTTTTCTAGTAAATCCAATAAAAATACATTTGTTTTACTGGAGTTTTTTTTTTGCTGCGACCTCTGTGTAAGGACTCTGCTTGATTCAAATGGGAATATGTGATGTTTGAAAATGAACAGTTTTTTTCTCTTACATGTAATAAAATTGGAATTTAATGTGATAA